CAGGACGTTCGAGCCTGGTCATATCGAAAGAAAATTGTAAGTTTCAATTAAAATTAATTTTCAATGTGATAAATTGGGAATAGAATTATGATTTTTTATTTATCCCTTTTTTATAATGGCTCATCATAAACATTATAACACGCGATCTTGCAATAAATTGCAGCTGCATCTCATGCACATACGAGTATCAAATAAAATATGATGATATTGCCTGTAAATAAACCTCACTAAAAACCTGGCATTCTTAAACACAATCAAGTTGATGATATCGTATATGATGGTGTCAGCTTCATGATGGTATGATGGTGTCAGCTTCAATTTGGCCGTATATCTTGCCTATCGCCGGTTCTGTGAACCACCCGGCCACAAGCGCTAATTTCGAACAGAATTTTCACTACTAGTTGCGGGTATCGAACTCTCAACTTCCTTCATTATTCTTAGTGTCGTATACTATCAGAAATATTTAAGAGTTTGTCTTATCACGGACGTCTTTCTAAGCTAAACCCACCAATCACTGACTACAAATCGACCGCTACGTTTTCTAATGCATAGACGTGTACTAAGGCCGATACTATTATAAGATGGCAGAAATTTCTTGTTTCTATGCGTAGAAAAACCTGGCATTCTTAAACTAAAATTAATTAATTAATTATAAGGCCGCTACGTGTACTAAGGCCGCTACGTGTACTAAGGCAGGTACATGTACAAAGGCCGCTACAAAAAGAAAAAAAAGGCCGCTACGTGCACTAAGGCCAGTACTTGTACCCTAGCGCTTTTGAAAGTACGTTGGTAATCTCAGCCACTCGGCCTCCTTGCCATGTTATTAAATTAATTATCACGGTGTAATGGCATAATAAAATCAATTAATGGTTTTATTTCCTCACCAGTGGAGACGATGGCAGGCGCTGAAGGTCTCGACACGAGTCACGTACGCAATGGGACGACCCGACGAAGCCATTCGAGACCAATAATTCCGGACGGATTTTTTTCCTAGGACAAAAATAAAAACGAACAAGGGTAATAGCTTCTTTTTTTCTCAACGAATGTTTAAACTGATTCAATTTTGTTCGAAAATTCAAAGTTACCAACTTCTTCGATGTCAGACAGTTTGGTTTTTATTTAACTACCGGTAATTACATAGGATAAAAGTTTTCAAACATAATCAAAGAATAGCTTACGCAACAATTCTTTTTTATTCTTATTTTTTTGAATAAGTGCCAGAGGGAAATGTAAAGACAGTTTATTTTAATGAAATATTAAATCATTTTTAACTGCTCAGTTTTGTGTAAATAGAATCATACAGTAATCTTAAGCATCCAAAATAATTTTGAATTATTTGATGCTTGCAAATGCAACTTATGTTAGTATTATTATGTTGTACCGAGAGTTCGCGACCGACTGGACAGGAATTTGAATTTGGCGGGCGACGTAATCGATTATGGCACTTCGGTTGCCAGCGCGCCTTTAGGTCCACACACTGTTCACTCTGTGTAAATTTCATATAAAATAGATAAAAAAATTACATAGCGCGGTTACCAAGGCACCTCAGAATCTAAGATCAATCTGAGATATACTTGAATTCCTAAAGTTGCTAAGGACATTCAAAAAATAGATCACGATTTCGAAAATATTGTCAGTGCACAAGTCATCAACTCGACTTCCAGATACACTGAAGCCAACAGATGCCAGAGCTCACTATTGAGCTAATTTATGGATTTGTCTTGATCTGACAGGTGGAGCTTGGAAAAACCCGATTCATTTTCATAGAAATGAATTATACTAGCCGTATATTTAAACCAATCATCACGCTAATTGGCACAATTGGGAGTATATTGTCTATTATTTAATTGAATATACGTTACATCGATCAAATTCAGCATGGATCGCTCACCGCACGAATTAAAATGTTTTTTTTTTTTTTAGCCCCATCGGCTCGAAAATACAACACCTACACCAGGCATAATATGCAGCTTTCTTTTACTATGTCAATCTATTAATTAGTCTCTAAGTACTTCAATGAATGATTTAAAATGCAATTACTAACCCTAAATTATGAATCCAATGCTTGCAGCCCTAAGCCAATCTCAATCCTAAGCCCAGCGAGCGACCATCACTATACCCATTGATTTTTACTATTTTCGGTCACTGACACATAATTCGTCACTCAGCAACTACACCTATCATCAAAGGATGTTAATTGCTAACGAAGCGCTATCCTCGCTAATTTAAATCAAGCGGCGTATGAAATTTATTGAACCTTATGAGCAGGTAGATATCAAGTTCTGAGGTTATGACTGTAGAAGAGGAAGCACACAATTAACCAAAAAATAATGTGTCAGCTAGGTATTTCATGCGTGTTTTTTTACAAATTCTCTGAAAAATTTCTGTATAGTATGAATAATCTTCCAAACCCGGCACGATGCAATGGCTGGCCAAATTAGTTTAGGATACCTTTACTTTTGAAATTTGGACTTACTTTAGATTTGTTTAAACTTCAATTATCATTGTCTTGCATTGAATATAAGAAAAAACCCCACACTTTCTATTCTATCAAGTTACTCTGCTAGTGTCCCTTTGCGATTCGCATGTGCTAGCTAAATTTGGTGATACTTTACTTCTGCATCGAAACTTTTAACGAACTTTCAATTTAATGTTCGAACTTCGATAGTGCAGTGGATTGGAAACTTGTACGAATTGGCAATCAAATTCAAACGTACTTATAAAAGTACACGTAAAGCAAAACAAAATACGTGTATGATATATTTCAGCTGCAAGTGATTAACTTTTCAAAATTCAAATCACTATTATATTTATATGTCTTGGACACTCATGGTTTATGGAATCGACGACAAAACTTATCACCCATCAAAATCGTTAGTTCATTTTTCCAATTTAATTTCTAGTTACACTAATAGTGTCACGCAAATGACGCAAACGGATTATTAATACTTTTAATTGTCATCTTTAGTTTCAGCCTAGCCTACGGTTCAGTACTTATATTCAATGCAAGTATGCAACTGCAAGTCTGCAAGACAATGATAATTGAAGTTTAAACAAATCTAAATTAAATCCAAATTTCAAAAGTAAAGGTAGCTATCCTAAACTTATTTTGCCAGCCATTGCATTGTGGATGATCGTGCCGGGTTTGGAAAAGTTTTCTCAACAGCTGAGCTGGATGCCTGGATTATTCATAGCCTATTAGCTATACAGAAATTTTTCAGAGAATTTGTAAAAAAAACACATGAAATAGGTACCTAGCTGACACATTAGTTTTTGGTTGATTGTGTGCTGCCTCTTCTACAGTCATAACCTCAGAACTTGATATCTACCTGCTCCTAAGTCCTAAGCTAAGCCTGCTAAGGTTAAAAAAATTTCATATGCCGCTTAATTTAAATTAGCGAGGATAGCGCTTCATTAGCAAATAGCAATTAGCATCCTTCAATGATAGGTGTAGTTGATGAGTGACAAATTATGTGTCAGTGACACTGTGACCAAAAATAGTAAAAATCAATGGGTATAGTGATGGTCGCTTGCTGGGCTGGGCTTAGGATTGAGATTGACTTGGGGCTGCAAGCCCTGCAAGCATTGGATTCATAATTTAGGGTTAGTAATTGCATTTTAAATGATGCATTGAAGTACTTAGAGACTAATTAATAGATGGACATAGTAAAAGAAAGCTGCATATTATGCCTGGTGTTGTATTTTCGAGCCAATGAGGCTAAAAAAACATCCCAATTCATGCGGTGAGCAATCCTTGTTGAAATTGATCGATGTAATGTATATTCAATTACCTAAATAATGGACATTGGACAATATGCTCCCAGGCCCCAGCCTCCCAATTGTGCTAATTAGGGTGATGATTGGTTTAAATATAAGGCTAGTAGGGTAAACGCGGTGTGGTATATTCCGTCACATTAAGGACGCATCGGGAAATGAAAAACTATAAAAAAATAACCGTATGCATTACTCAAGTTCTGTTTGCTTTAGGTGACTCAAAACACCATAGTACGTGTCGGCAACGATGAAACGTCACAAAATGTTGCCATATTTATGTAAAAGCCTTTAGAATGCAAACCTACCAAATCCCTATATTCCGTCACTGTGTGTGGCAATATTTGGCATGTGGTGAGGTGTATTCCGTCCGCGCTCCAAATTCTACTGATACGTAATGCCGTCATCCACGTGTTCGAATTCCGTTTGCTGTGTGAGCTGTATTTGAATACAACACGGCTTTGAATTAGAACACTAATGCATATTGAACACTACTTAATTATGCTTTTAATTAACAACTATTAAGCTTTTAATTAAGCAAATTTTAATTTTTGTACATAGCTTGGGCCTTGGAACGATCTGCGTGTGTCCAATTCAAGTTGTGACGGAATTAGTTTTCATGTGTCTAAATCCATTTCTCAACTTAATCATCTATTAATTTATTTACCACTTGAAATCAGNAAGCCAGTCTTTTTGCTGGCCATTTTGCTAAAGTTGCTCCTATGACAGGTCATCAAGCAAGTGTCTGTCTCTTATACACATCTAGATGTGTATAAGAGACAGCAAATGTATGACATTACCATTTCAACCATCAACGAAGACCCAGTGTTTTGGCATTAGTTCTGCGCGCAAATGTATGACATTACCATTTCAACCATCAACGAACGCATGGAACTAAAACAAAGCTTAATATAAAGGAAAAACTAGAGAGGTGACGGAATTACCCACGATGACGGAATATACTGCGTTTACCCTACAATTTATTAATATGAAAATGAATGGGTTATTCCAAGCTTTACCTGTCAGATCAAGACAAATCCATAAATTAGCTCAATAGTGAGCTCTGGCATCTATTGGCTTCAGTGCATCTGGAAGTCGAGTTGATGACTTCAATTGACTTGTGCAATGACAAAATTTTTGAAATTGTGATCTGTTTTTGAATGCTCCTAGCAACTTTAGGAATTCAAGTATTCAGCTTCAGAATTGGCACCTGCCAGCTCCAGATGTGATAACTTTTTAATTAATGTTTTTCTAATTTCCAGGACAAATGTTAGAAAATAGATAAATTAGTAATATGGAAGACACAGAATATCTGAAGTTGCCTCTTGAGGAGAGATGTGTTCACAAGGTATGTGCTATTTAGTTGATAGATACAAATTAAAAACTGACTTATCATCAATAACTCCTAAGATAGTATGGTTATTAGTACCTATACATATGTGTTTTGTTTCTGTAGATCGTATTATACATAGAATATATTTAACATAGTGGCAAAGCAGACTATTTTAGGCTCTCCCTCAACTTCAAGTTCATTTTTGAGTCCTATATTCATATGTAACCAGCAAAGTAGGTATCATGGCCCCATTCAATGACTTGAGTAGATGAGTAATGAGGTCATGACTCATGAGGTAGGAGTAGGACTGGTAGGTAATAGGTATGTGCACAAAAAAATCTTTTTCCTCTGATCCTAATGAAAATTATACAGCTGAAAAGAGAAAAAAATATAACTCAGTACTCACTGCAGTGAGTGACTGAGAGCGCATTTCTCATAGATGAAAACGTGTTCAGGGACGGATGGACAGACTTGACAAGCACAATAGCACCTTTTTCCATAAATGAGAAAATGCGCAAAAAATAAGGAAATTACTATAAAATGGGGCAATAAGGGATGGGCATCATGGGCAGAGTAAATAGGGACAGTCATCCCACATTTCGTATAAATGTTGTAGCAGCTAAACTAATCAGAATATTGCAAAATTAAAAATAGTGGCATAAAATAAAGCTTGACACTTTTACTATCTATGTAGAATGAAGTAAGTTGAGAAATCATGCATTTACTACCTCTAAAAATCCCTGAAAAAAATGTGAAACATGAGATTTTGGACATGTTCTTATGCTAAGATCTGTAGCAAAAAATATTTGCCATATCAAAAAATTTTACTTGCATAAAAGTTGCACACAGGTGTTGGCTTAAAAATATGATTGACAGAATTGCCATATCTCATTTCATAAAAAAATGGTTGCCATTTCCAAAGGACAAAATAATAAGGAATACTCCCCCTCCCTCTGGGGGTAATAAAGGACACCTCAAAAAATGTAATTACAGTAGAACCTTGATTAGCAAAGACTCCAATTCATGAAAAAATCAATTACAACAGAAATTTTTTATTATATTTACCTTGCATGGTGAAAAAAATTCACTTAATGAAAAATTAATGCTTCATCAGTCATCACATAATTGTGCATAGAATGTAATAGAATGTTGTGCACTGGGCAACATGAAATGAGAAGTATTTAACCTAAACACTGATTTATTCCTCCAAAAATATGATGGTGTCACTAGAATATTTCTTTCTGTTTTAGGTACTGTAAAATGGGGTAACTTTGACCAATTTTTTTTTCAAAATGATGCCATTTTTTTACTAGATAAGTTTAACTTGAATTGAAACATGCAAAATACAGGTCTATACTCTAGCTTTACTCACCATAAATTGCTGGCTCCTGCCTCTCATAGTTTTGATGTAACTTCTAAAAAAGTGATGGTCTTTGTTACCCCAGCTCTTGGGGTTTCTTTGACCGGGTGGTAAAAGCAATTTTATTTTTTGGTAAAATAACTCCAAATAACTCCAGGTTCTGGTGAATTTTAGTAGAACTCTTCTAGTTACATATGCAAAAGACAAATTTTAGGAAAGTGTCATAGTTTGCAAATGCGGGGCGCCGCCCCCCAATGGGCGAAATGTGACCACCTAATGGCAGCCGTGATGGGGTAACATTGACCGGTTTGGAAATTAAGTTAAAATTACCATATATAAGACTCTGTAGAGTCTGAAACACGGTTTGGAAATTAAGTTAAAATTACCATATATAAGACTCTGTAGAGTCTGAAACATAGAGAAAAGAACATTAATAGGTGTATCAAACATAAAATATGTTAAATAGGTACCTATGGTAATTTTAACTTAATTTTTAAGCTGGTCAATGTTACCCCATCACGGCTGCCATTAGGTGGTCAAAGTTCCCCTACTGGGGGGCAGCGCCCCCCATTTGCAAACTATGACACTTTCCTAAAATTTGTCTTTTGCATACCGTAAAATGGGGTAACTTAGACCACTTTTTTCTATAAATGATGCCATTTTTTACTAGCTAAATTAAACTTGAATTGAAACGTGCAAAATACAGGTCTATACTCTAGCTTCACTCACCATAAATTGCTGGCTCCTGCCTCTCATAGTCTTTATGTAATTTCAAAAAAAGTGGTGGTCTTTGTTACCCCAGCTCTTGGGGTAACTTAGACCGGGTGGTAAAATCAATTATATTTTTTTGTAAAATAGCTCCAAATAACTCCAGGTTTTGGTGCATTGTAGTAGAACTCTTCTAGTTACATATGCAAATGACAAACTTGAGGAAAGTGTCATAGTTTGCAAATGGGGGGCGCTGCCCCATAGTGAGGGAAATGTGACTAACTAATGGCAGCCCTGATGGGGTAATATCGACTGGCTTGGAAATTAAGTTAAAATTACCATATATAAGACTCTGTAGAGTCTGAAACATGAAGAAAAAACATAAATAGGCTGTCAAACATAAAATATGTTATATATGGTAATTTTATATTAACTTCCAAGCCGGTCTATGTTATCCCATCAGGGCTGACATTAGTGGTCTAAGTTACCCCATTTGGGGGTGGCGCCCCCCATTTGCAAACTATGACACTTTCCTAAAATTTGTCATTTGCATATATAACTAGAAGAGTTCTATTACAATGCATCAAAACCTAGAGTTATTTAACTAAAAAATAAAAAAATTGGAGGGGGTACTCTGACAGGCTTTAAATAAAAAAAATAAATGTGACCCACGAAAAAAGCTCTGACAGCTTTTTTTCGTGGGTCACATTTTTAATTTTTTAACCTATTAGATATGCAAACTTTTCAAATCTTTCTATTGTGTTATGTAGCCTCAGTATTAGGCCTTTGATGCCCATTGACAAAATTTTTCTATGTCAAATAGTTTTTGAGTTGTGAGGGTTTTTGTTAAAAAAACGAAAAGTGGTCTAAGTTACCCCATTTTACGCTATGTAACTAGAAGAGTTCTACTACAATGCATCTAACCCTGGAGTTATTTTACCAAAAAATAAAAAATTGGGGTACTCCGACAGGCTTTAAATAATAGCTCTTTTTCATGGGTCACTTTATTAATTTTGCAACCTATTAGATATGCAAACTTTTTATATTTTTCTATTGTGTTAGGTAGCCTCAGTATTAGGCCTTTGATGGCCATTGACAAAATTTTTCTATGTCAAGTCGTTTTTCAGTTATGGGGGTTTTTGTTAAAAAAACGAAAAGTGGTCAAAGAGACCCCGCTGGTCAAAGTAATCCCATTTTATGGTATGTTTTACAATCTTTTTTTTTTTTTTGTTATAGCAAATTCACTTGACCAAATTGAAATGGTGTGAAATTACAAGCCTTCCTGAAAGCTTACAGATACAGAAAAGTGCTGTATGGCTGCTGATATGAAGCTTGCAGTGAACGAGGTTGTTGTAAATGCTCAATGGCATGCTCATGGATACAGTATTATCACGTCAATAATAAGGTAATTTATGGATATGGTAATATCGTATCAATAAAGAAAAACAAGTAAAAATTACAGAAAATGTCATTTATTCTACTTCTACATCATCTACGAAGGAAAAGGAGGACTTCAGATTACTGTTAGTACTAATAGATGAGAACACTCTGCATGCTTCAAACGTTTTAAAATTAAGTTTTACTTCAAGTGTCCCGGATTACCCCGTTCCCAGGGGTAATTCGGGATGTTTTTATTTTGGATCTGGCACCTTGCAAATAGCATATAGAATTTTTTGAAGATGCCGTAAGATAGGCCCTCGCAAAAAGCTATAAAGATGCCCTCGCAAAAAGCTATAAAATGAGCTCAAGCTTGTTTATGAAATGTTTCATGGCAAGAAGTTATTGACAAAAAAATGCTCAAAACCATCCCTTATTACCCCATTTGACTGTACCTTATAAATATAAGTGGAATATTAATAAAATTGGAAAATTTATAATTTTTTTCCATTATTACATTATGGCTCCAAAATGGCTCCATTTCTATGGCTCCTTTTCTTGGTTTGCTATGAGCCCATTTCAAATATTTTTCTGTCATTAGAAAGCTCATGTTCTAGGCTACCTATTCCAAGTAAAATAAAACATTTTGGTTGAAACTTTGACTGCAGTTGGGGGAAATGGGTGTGACTGTGTGACTGATGGATGACTGATAGAAATTCTTCAAAAGGCAGGATTGAACAGAATAAATTCCAGTTGGTAAATAAACTATACATAAACTATACCATACATCAATTGTATAATTTATGTATAATTATAATTAATTATAGGAGCCTACGCCCCAGGCTGACATGCTTTAAGTCTGACTAAGCACTTCACAAATTTTACTAGTAAGTGTACCAGGACTGGAGGTAGCAGTTGCAACTGCAAGTCAAAAATTTCATGTAACAAATACTTTGTAGGTAACAGTTAAATCATCCTGGTCAGTCAATTATATGCAATTAACTCCAAAACTTTGAAATATGAGCCAAACAGGAAGGCACAATGTGAAAGACTACCGTCAAACAGGGCAATGAGGGACAGTTTTGAGCGTTTTTTTGCCAATAACTTCTCACCATTGAATATTTCACAAACAAGTTTGGGCTCATTTTAAAGGTCTTTGTAAGGGCTATTCTGTGGCATCTCCTAAAAATTCACATATGTTCTTTGTAAGGTGCCAGCCACAAAATAAAAGCCTCTCAAATTACCCCTGGAAATGGGGCAATAAGGGACACTTGAAATAAAACTTAATTTTAAAATGTTTGAATCATGCAGAGTGTACTCATTCATTACTAACAGTAATCTGAAGTCCATCTCTTCCTTTGTAGATGATGTAGATGTAGAATAACAAACATTTTCTGTGATTTTTAGTTTTTACTTGTTTTTTCTTCATTGATATGATATTACCATATCTCCATACATTACCATATTATTTTTGTGGTATTACCATATCCTTGGATATGCCATTGAGCATTAACTCTGACCTTGTCCACTGCAAGCTTCATATCAGCAGCCATGTAGCATTTCTTCTGTATCTGTAAGATTACAGGATGGCTTGTAATTTCACACCATTTTAGTTGGGTCAAGGGAATTCACTATAACAAAAAAAGATTGTAAAAAATGTACCCAAAACAGAAAGGAGGAATATTTTAATGACAACCATCATATTTTTTGGAGAAATAAATCATAGTTTAGGTTAATTCGTTTTCATTCTATGTTGCCAGGTGCACAATTCTATCTATGAAATTCTATGCACAGTTTTGTGATGACCAATGATGCATTCACTTTTTGTTAAGTAAATTTTTTTGCTGGGTAAGGTAAATGTAATCAAAGATATTTGTTATTAACTGATTTTTTTTTGTTAACTGAAGCCTTTGGTAACCGAGGTTCTACTGTAAATGCTTTTTTAGGGTGTCCTTTATTATCCCAGGGGCAAGGGGTGTCCCTTATTGCTCTGTCATGCAGAAATGGTTGCCATTTTTTAATGAGCTACATGAATTCTGTCAATCGCATTTTTAAGCCAACACAACTTTTTATGCAAGTAAAATTGTTTAATACAGTGAATATAACAGTACTCCTCCAAAATCTTGCTTTGCACTTTTTTCAGGGATTTTTTAGTGGTAGTAAATGTATGATTTCTTAACTTGCTTTGTGCTACCTACATAGATAGTAAAAATGTTGAACTTTATGCCACTATTTTTAGTTGTGCAATATTTGAATTAGTTTAGCTGCTACAACATTTTTACAAAATGTTGGAGCACTGTCCTAAATTACCGTAAAATGGGGTAACTTTGACCACTTTTTTTTCTTAATGATGCCATTTTTTACTAGATAAGTTAAACTTAATTGAAACATGCAAAATACAGGTCTATACTCTAGCTTTACTTACCATAAATTGCTGGCTCCTGCCTCTCATAGTTTTGATGTAATTTCAAAAAAAGTGGTGGTCTTTGTTACCTCAGCTCTTGGGGTTTCTTTGACCGGGTGGTAAAATCAATTTTATTTTTTGGTAAAATAACTCCAAATAACTCCAGGTTGTGGTGCATTGTAGTAGAACTCTTCTAGTTACATATGCAAAAGACAAATTTTAGGAAAGTGTCATAGTTTGCAAATGGGGGGCAATGGGCAAAATGTGACCACCTAATGGCAACTGTGATGGGGTAACATTGACCGGTTTGGAAATTAAGTTAAAATTACCCTATATAAGACTCTGTAGAGTCTGAAACATAAGGAAAAAACCATTAATAGGTGTATCAAACATGAAATATGTTATATAGGTACCTATAGTAATTTTAACTTTATTTCCAAGCCGGTCAATGTTACCCCATCACGGCTGCCATTAGGTGGTCAAAGTTACCCCATTGGGGGGCGGCGCCTAAAATTTTTCTATGTCAAATCATTTTTGAGTTTTGGGGGTTTTTGTTAAAAAAACGAAAAGTGGTCAAAGTTACCCCGCCGGTCAAAGTAACCCCATTTTACGGTACCCCACTTGTCCCTTATTATCTCATTTGACAGTACGTATGGTTAAAGTTGATGTTCCCTATTTGCTCTTAAATGCAAGCATTCAATGCAAATGTTTGCAACTGATAGCAATCAACTAAATGTACCTTCATCCTTGGCTGTAATCAATAATGGTACATGATCTGTAATCAAGGTTATCAGTTGCTTAGAGGATTTTTTTTTAAATTTTGTGACCACTAAGTATCTAAAATTGTGCTAATCTATTTCAGCTGTGGAAGGCACGTGTCAATGGCTATGAGGAGTGCATCAAATATTTCTCAACTATTACTGATGAGAAAAGTCCAGAGTTCAACAAATTTGCCCCGCTTATGAAAAAGCTTGTCACTGACTCCAATGCTGTTGCACAAGAGAAGGCCCTGGAAGCTGTACTTGCATTTGCTGAAAATGCACACATTGCTGCCAAGTGAGTCATAGAGCATAAATTTATACTTATTTGTCTCATTCTGACTGACATTTTCTATTTGCAATAATATTTTCAATATACTTTTTCAGTTGTGCTGCATTACACTCTAATTGGTAGTGATGAAGTTGAAATGCTCCAAATATCACAGTAGGTACACTAGACCCTCTGGTGTCATAAACATCTTCCCAATATGAGCAAGTATTCATATCATTTGGTATTTGCCTGTTCTAGACAGCTTTGTTTTATTGTTCTAATGGAAATTCTGGTGCAGATGTGCCACAGATGTTGCCAGTGGTATTGTTGCCAAGGCTTTGGGCGGGCCTCGCCGTGGCACACATGATAATGCGGAGGCTGTGCTGCTCATGTACTGTGAGATCGAGAAATATGCCATCGTCCAGGAAGAGCTCATCAAAGGATTTGCTGCTAAAAATCCAAAAGTTGTTGTGGCCTGCGTCAAAATCCTCACATCTGCTCTACGGTAATAGAAATTACGGATAAATACCAGTGGTGTGCCCTTAGAATTCATAAAATTAGTTTCTGTGATACATTTTTTCTCTAAATACAAGAATTAGAGACTCTTGAATATATTACCAGTATATTGAAAGCACATAATAATGAAACTTTTAATGAACTTCATGATATAGTTTGGTTTGGTACTAGGAAATGACTTGCTGTTCTAGATAAATGTTGTTATTTATAAACTCTTAACAATCTCATAGTTATAATGCAAATTAATCTCCACCAAATATTTTATTAGGAATGTGATGGTAATTTGGCAATACTTGCACTTGTAAGGTGATTGTAGAATAATAATTTTTATAGCTTTATTTCGTATAATTTTTTGGTTCCAGAGAGTTTGGGTTTGCCCCAAAGGTTATGGCTCCAAAGATGATGGCAATCTGGCAATCCTTGTAATAGATGTGATGCGCTAAAAGAAGAATACTGTACCTAGTTTTTATTGCTTTGACTGATCCATATTTTTCCTTTCAGAGAGTTTGGCCCAAAGGTTATGGCACCAAAGCCCCTGGTAAAGCAGTTTCCAAGGCTGCTAGAAGACCGAGACAAGAACGTCAGAGACGAGGGCAAGAAGCTCATGGTGGAGATGTATCGCTGGATTGGTGATGCCTTGAAGCCTCAGCTCACGGCCCTCAAGCCTGTGCAGGTGATCATGCTTCAGACAATTACACCAATTGTTTGCAAATGTACATAAATGGGCTTAACTTAGTGTCGGCTAAGATTAGGGTTAAAAAAATATCTAATACATTGGAACATTTTTCCTAGGTCTTGAGTATGTATTCCTTGGTAAATATATAAACCTCTATGTAGGTTTTGTTGTTAATATTATTAGCATGTTATATTTTTGCATGTTCTTAGTCAATAAGACCAATCAAATGATTGTTCATTGAATTTTTGATCAATAATTTGATGATTGATATAAAGCACAATATTGGCCTCCATTAGTTCTTTGCTACGATTTAGTTATCTCAAATTCTGATGCCTAAGATCAGTTCTGTAGTATTCCCCATCTTTGATTAACATCATTGCCTATCCTCTCTTCCAATTCGTTTTATTGCCCTATTCAACTACAGTTTCAAAATCTTTACTGACACACTACAATCTAAACTCTCAAGAACACGTAGCGGCTGATTTCTCATTGCGATTAGATGGTTTAACTTTACAAGACTTCAGTCACAGACTAATGGGAAGTTGCGAACTCATAACTGTTATTGATAGTATGGCGCCTGTTGTTTAAATCAATAATTATGGTTGATGTTGCAGGTTGCGGAGCTTGAGACGGAGTTTGAAAAAGTTGCCGGTGAGAAGGCTGTACAAACTCGCTTCCTACGTTCACAACAGGAACTGAAGGAAAAGATGGCGGCAGCAGGAGATGAAGATGCTGGCCAAGACGAAGAAGGTCAGTCGCCATTCCTGTATGAATTTCTTCTGAAAAATTTGAACTTTATCCACATTCCATACTTTTTTCATAATTACCACTTTATCAATAATTCCTCATATAAATAAATTATTAACGAGAGCAAGTTTAAAATGACTCGCTATTGTCTAACTTGTGTAACATGGCTACAGATGAGGCTGATGGGGCTGTCGAAATTGACCCTGTCGACCTCATGGACCCTGTGGACATCCTGTCACAATTGCCTGCAGATTTCTATGAAAAGGTGATGCGTGTACACTGCTGTCCTTCATAATCAACAAATATATGCCATTCAAACATACTTTCTTATAACCACGTCTACACAAGAACATAGTTTTCATAGAAAATGTAATAATTTTTTAGGGAAATTTGAAATCATTGTAACGTAGGTACCTAATTGTTTCCAGCAACTCAAGAATATAGTTTTTATGCTTATGTCGTTTGTTTGAAAATCCAAATATTCTTGAAGTTTTCAATTTTTTTACTTTCAAAGTTGTAAGTTATAAAAGTCCTCAGTTGAATGGTTACAAAAAAAAAATCCTTTTATACTTTGCTTCTGTACTTATTTCGCTGCAGGATATTTATTTACCAGATTTTCTTCCTGCTTTTCTCTAACTTTATACAAATGAAGATGAATTAAATTTCAGCTTGAAGCCAAGAAATGGCAAGACCGCAAAGAGGCCATGGAGATTTTGCTGCCACTGACCAAGCATCAGAAACTGGAGAACGGAGACTACCATGACCTCATGAAAGCACTTAAAAAAGTAATTCTGCTTATCCACCTTGACCTTTTTTGGCACCTATGCCTTTCTTTCATTGTAACCTGGGGTATTTAATCCTGTTGAAATTGTGTGACTAATGCGTCTTCCTTTCATTTTCACTTGTAACAATTATATCACTCTTTATTCTCGTATCAAGCCACATTGTTGAGCAATTAAGTTTAAGAATTGATGTCCATTGCCTAAAGGTAAGCTTCTCTAGAATAATATATGAATATTAATGGTAACCATATGCCTATTATAATAGTATTGAATGACGACAAATTCTACATCCAATGCAGGTGGGTTCAGCCACGCACAGATGGTGATTAATTCAAATCCAGTTTATTACAAACTATATAGTTACACTATTCAGATAAGCTCCTAAAAACTACCAGCTAGACTAATATAATTTTGTAATAATGTTGTAAGATTTTGTAATAATGTTGTAAGAAACGTCCTATTATGGCAGATTGGCTCGGTATAATTTTGTAATAACGTTATAACAAACGTCCTATTATGGCATATTGACTCGGTATAATTTTGTAATAAGGTTATAACAAACGTCCTATTATGGCATATTGACTTGGTTTAATTTTGTAATAACGTTATAGGTAACAAACGTCCTATTATGGCAGATTGACTTGGTTTAATTTTGTAATAACGTCATAACACGTCGATCTGCCTTTTGTGGCAGATCGACAAACTTCACTATTTAGTCTTTTGAAGCTGAAAATTGTAATGGACCTTCCCATCGCAAATATATTCGAGATGAATTTGTGATCGTACAGCTGGTGAACCCTTCAACATTGAACTTGGTTTAATTTTGTAATAACGTTATAAAAAATCCTTTTGTTGCAGATTGACTTGGTTTAATTTTGTAATAACGTTATAACAAACGTCCTTTTGTGGCAGAATATTTCCAAAACCGCCTTGAGTTTATATAACTTATAATAAGTTTGTAATTAACCTTTGTTCTGGTTCCAGATTATAGCCAAAGATACGAACGTGATGATCGTAGCGTTGTCTGGTCAATGTATCGCTGGGCTCGCTGCCGGCCTCAAGAAGAAGTTCTCCGTGTTTGCTGTTGCTTGCACTGAAACAATCCTCGAGAAATTCAAGGAGAAGAAAATGAATGTCGTCACTGCGCTTAGGGAAGCTGTTGATGCCATATATCAATGTGTGAGTTTTCTCTATATTTAATGAATTTTTTGTTGCATTTTTTTTAATTTTGTTCAAATTGGAATGGTTAAGAAATTTGTTTCTTTTCTCTTTATCTTTTTTCTTTTTTGTTTCTTTTACAAATCTTTTTTGTTTCTTTCTTTATTTTAGACTGCTTATGTACAACTGTAGCTACTTTTGATACAATTTAAATGTTGTAAATTATGCAGTCTGGCTTACGCTTACACGTGGATCAAAACAAATAACGTGAAAGTTTATTTGAAGTATTATAAGTATAATGAAACAAGAGCAGCCTCTTGTTACTGCACATCAGTGTTTATTTCTACAATGAATAAGCCTGCTAGTAAATATTCCCTACCATAATCATTTAAGTTTAGATGACTTTCTGAGTAAAATAATTCAATCAAAGTTCAATGTATGGATCACTTTTGTTTACTTCATAGAAATTTAACCCTTTCACGGGTAAGTTACCATATATGATCACTTGAAATCGCGTCACAAAAAGCCTCACCACGGCTTCCTGTTTGTTTTTGAGGCATCCTTATATACAGACATCACTGGAGTGAATACAAAGATTGTAAATTATTTCGCTATGTAAATAACATCCTCTTTTGCACAGACATCACTGGAGTGAATACAAAGATTGTAAATTATTTCGCTATGTAAATAACATCCTCTTTTGTACAGACATCACTGGAGTCTTTACAAGAGACCATCTCTGCCGCCCTGGGCAACAAGAATCCCAACGTGAAGGCCGAGACCGCGGCGTTCCTCGGTCGCTGCTTCTGCTACTGCACGCCAACGATCCTCAACAAGAAACTGATCAAGGCGTTTGCCACAGATTTATTGAAGACCCTCAATGAATCAGGTAAGAACTTCCTTTAAATTTCTTAGTTAAATTAGGAAAGGAACAATTAAACACATGACTTTTACCACAGACTTATTACCCTCAATGAATCGTGTAAGAACTTCCTTTAAATTGCTCAGTCAAATTAGGAAAGGAACAATTATACACATGATTTTGCCACAGATTTATTGAAGACCCTCAATGAATCAGGTAAGATCTTCCTTTAAATTGCTTAGTTAAATTAGGAAAGGAACAATTAAACACATGACCTTTACCACAGACGTATTGAAGACCCTCAATGAATCAGGTAAGAACTTCCTTTAAATTGCTTAGTTAAGTAAGGAAAGGAATAATTAAACACATGACGTTTGCCGCATATTTATTGCTGACCCTCAATGAACCAGTTAAGAACTTCCTTTATGTTTTCAATAAATAAGGAGATGAGAAAACCCTATGACTCGCAGTCAGACATTTTATAAATGCATATGTTCTCGTGAAATTTGATGTTGCTTGCCCTACTTCTGATTAATGGAATTGCAAAATCCATGCTTTCAAGCAAAACCTTTTTTAGTTTTCAACTCCTTTTTTACATGAATTATCCAATATTTGTTAATTGTACAATACATATAAAAATAATTCTACTCTGACGTAATTATATATTGACTCAGAACATCAAATTTAAACAGGCTATAATCAATACTTGAATGCATAATGGTATTAAAGCTAGTTTAGTTTTCTCCATTAATTTATCCTGTTTTGTACCTAGCATAACAGTAAAGGCTAATTTGCTAGTTTTATCCAAGCATTGTTTCTCAAAGTACTACCTTAGGTAAAGCTAGTTTAGTTTTCTCCATTAATTTATCCTGTTTTGTACCTAGCATAACAGTAAAGGTTAATTTGCTAGTTTTATCAAAGCAATGTTTCTCAAAGTACTACCTTAGGGCGATGATATATTCCTAACTGTGCTTAATTTTCAGATCCAACTGTTCGAGACAACTCTGCAGAGGCGCTCGCTGCGCTCCTGAAGGTGGTTGGGGAGAAACTGTTGATGCCATTCTTGGGGGACTTGGATAATCTCAAGATGCAGAAGGTTGGTTATAATATTTATCAAACCTTAATTTAATGGCTTGCTCAATAAGATGATCCTCAGAGGCAGAATGATAATTTGCAAAAAATATGGCACGCTTTGGTTGAGATGGTTCATAATCCAAAGATTCTCAACAATACAGAAGCTCGGTATTTGATTGAAATAAATTGAACGGATTTTGTACATAAGAGACGAATGGAAAGGTGGAAGTGAAAGTGATGCTATGAACTGTTGAAGTAAATAATATAATAAGTATTGTTTTATTGTCATTAGATAAAAGAGGCGAGTGAGAAGGTGGAGCTAACAATAAAGCTATCAACCGTTAGAGTAAATAATTAATAAATATTGTTATATTATCATTAGATAAAAGAGGCGAGCGAGAAGGTGGAGCTAACAATAAAGCTATCAACCATTAGAGTAAAAAATATAATATATATTGTTTTATTATCATTAGATAAAAGAGGCGAGTGAGAAGTTGGAGCTAACAATAAAGCTATCAGTACCAACTGTTAAAGTAAATAATATAATAAGTATTGTTTTATTATCATTAGATAAAAGAGGCGAGTGAGAAGTTGGAGCTAACAATAAATATATCAGCATCAACTGTTAAAGCAAATAGTATAATAAGTATTGTTTTATTATCATTAGATAAAAGAGGCGAATGAAAACGTGAAGCTAACAATACAGCTATCAACTTTTAAAGTAAATAATATAATAAGTATTGTTTTATTATCATTAGATAAAAGAGGCGAGTGAGAAGGTGGAGCTGAAGGTGAAGATACCAACCGCCAAAGCTAAAGCCAAGCCAGCCCCCGCCGCGGCGCCCAGTAAGCCCGTGACTGTCAGCAGCGGAGGACGTGTCGCCGCTACAGCTGCTCGCCCCGCGCCTGCCAAGGCGCCCCCTCGCAAGGCTAAGCCTCCTGGTAAACAAAACTCAATTCAATAGTTTGAATAATTGAATTATTAACTTTCTGGGATTGAATCCCTGAAAGTTATTTTAAAAATGCATTGTCTTATCATCAATCAAATGTGTATAATAGTCAATAGAACAAATCACACTATTTTACTGTAATCAAGGCTATGCACCGAACACGTTGATTCCATTTATATACTTGTCCAGTGTGTTTGATTAACAAATGAATTCAATACTAATGACATGTGATTAATGTCATTACTATTACTATTTTATTTAGTTTTATTCCTCCACAATTGCAATAGTTAGCCACTACCTTCCATAATGTACAGTGTACACAGTAGGCTACTGTTACGTTTTATTGTAACGTAACGCAATATCATAACATAACTTAGTATATTATTGTAACGTAACAATATCGTACACATTGGGCTCTTTCTTTGACATCAATTTATTTTAAATTCAATTTATTTGGCTTTAACTCTCCCAAATGACGTTGAAATTAAGCATGAACGTTATGATCAGGTGGAGCTGGTGGTGGGGGCAGCGCGGCCACCAAGAGCCCCGCGGTGGTGGAGGAGGCGGAGATGGTGCTAGAGGCCGCGGTGGAGGCCGCAGGGGAGGTGCTGGGAGCTGCCGTCGTCTCCCAGCTCGCCGACCCCAACTGGAAGGAGCGCCTCGCTGCAATGGACGCTATTGTTGCTGTCAGTCCACTGTTGCTGTCAGTCCGATGTTGCTGTCAGTCCACTGTTGCTGTCTGTCCACTGTTGCTGTCAGTCCACTGTTGCTGTCAGTCCCCTGTTGCTGTCAGTCCGCTGTTGCTGTCAGTCTGCTGTTGCTGTCAGTCCACTGGTGCTGTCAGTCCACTGTTGCTGTCAGTCCACTGGTGCTGTCAGTCCACTGGTGCTGTCAGTCCACTGGTGCTGTCAGTCCACTGGTGCTGTCAGTCCACTGGTGTTGTCAGTCATGGTCTATTGTTGCTGTCAGTCGTGGTCTATTGTTGCTGTCAGTCGTGGTCTATTGTTGCTGTCAGTCGTGGTCTATTGTTGCTGTCAGTCGTGGTCTATTGTAGCTGTCAGTCGTGCTCTATTGTTGCTGTCTGTGTTATCCTGCTGTCATGACTAACGTGGCGGCCAGAGCTCGGCAACCGCATTTTTTGTGTACCGCCAAAATAAATATTTTTGTGATAAACTGCTTGTAGTTGATACATTTAACTCTTTCAATAAATCGATTTAAGTGTCAGTCTTTCACAAACTACGATATAACAGCTTCAGATTTTTCTCTCTGTACGGGTTAAATTAGTGTGAATAATCTTAATTGTAATACACTTTCTGTAAGATCGTTGAAGTCGTTGAAATGAAAAGTGGTTTCTCTAGTCCTTTTCAGATTTTTTCAGATCATAATTTTCCATGGGAATTACTCATGTATAATGATTTTAACAGGCCGTGAGCGAGATGGACACAAACGCTCCGTGCCAGGCAATGGTGCTTGTCATCGCCGTCCAGAAGCCTGGGCTGAAGGATAACAACTTCCAGGTGCTCAAACTCAGGATCACGGCCATTCAAACGCTCGCTGAGAACACGAAATTCTCGCGGTGAGTGGCGATATCTTGGCTCTCGCGGTGAGTGGCGTCTTGAGTTATCTTGGCTAGATTCTTAACAGGTTTCGTGCGGTGCACAAGTTTTGGCAGGTTTATTTTAATGAAAATATGATTCTTGATCAAAAACATGTTTCTCTTGGTCTTTTCAATGATAGTTGTTCACTTTAAATTATTAATACGATATGAGTTAGATGAGTTATTTACCTCACATGCGCACTCGTGTCGTGTAGTATGCTATAATATAATTATTTGAGGGCGTAAATTACAGCAGTTAACTTGCATAAGACATAACTTAAGACCTGTCTTTGGAAGTCATTGATAAATTTGGTTAACCCAAGTTATGCTATAATAAAATTGTATAATATCAACTGTAACAGCTGTTTACTTGCACAGGACGTCTTGCGAAGCATGTCTGGCAGAGCTGGTTGATAAATTAGGTTGACCCAATTTATGCTATAATATAATTGTATAATATAAATTGTAACAGCTGTTTACTTGCACAGGACGTCTTGCGAGGCATGTCTAGCAGAGCTGGTTGATAAATTAGGCGACCCAAGTTATGCTATAATATAATTGTATAATAAATTGGGCGACCCAAGTTATGCTATAATATAATTGTATAATATAAACTGTAACAGCTTTTTACTTGCACAGGACGTCTTGCGAGGCATGTCTGGCGGAGCTGGTTGATAAATTGGGCGACCTAAAGAACGGTTCGCTGGCAAGCAGCTGTCTCACAGCGATGGCTGAGGCCGTGTCGCTGGAGTGGCTTGGTCCTGAAGTCACGACGCTCGCCTTCAAGCAGAAGAGTCCTAAGGTGCAGGAGGCGGCGCTGGTCTGGCTCGCGCAAGCCGTCACCGACTTCGGTCTCATGTTAGTTGCTCGAAATTCTTTTTAGCGTATTTTCTCATTTATAAAAAATGCACTATTGTGCTCGCCATGTCCGTCTGTCCGTCCGTGACCTCAAGTTTTCGTCGACGAGAAAATGCGCTCTCTGTCACTCACTGCAGTGAGTACTGAGTTAGGTATATTTTTTCCTTCTCTATTCATAATTCTTATTGAATATAAAGTAGGTACTGTTTATCATGTGTAATATGAATTTGTTCGATGAATTAGGGAAACTTAATCGATGAATTAGGGAAATAATGTAATTAAATGTACTAGTATATAGGTATATCAATATGCTTATTACGTTTTTTAGTTATATTCAAAATGAATACGTTTTATAAAAGCGTGAACTGAAAGCAAATTCACTGATCAAGGCATGAAGAATGGCCTGGCTTGTACCAACCTCAGGGTTGATGCTAATATAGCATATATTTTATTAATATTTTGTTAAATATGTTTGGTTTATGATAATGAATTTGTTGTTGATAGCGTGAAGCCGAAGTCTGTGATCGCTGACATCAAGAAAGGCCTCGCTCACACCAACCCTGGAGTGCGTAATGCGGCGGTGTCTCTGTGCGGTGTCATCCACCTGCACATGGGACCTGCGCTACGCACCTTCCTTGAGGACGAGAAGCCTGCCCTCCTACAGCAGATTGATGCCGAGATCGAGAAGGTTAGTAGGGAAACAATTCTTGCGCGATCGTTTCTCTGACCCTGTAATTTTTTCCGTCTATTTAAATATAGCAGATTGATGACGAGATCGAGAAGGTTAGTAGGGGAACAATTCTTGCGCGATCGTTTCTCTGACCCTGTAATTTTTTCCGTCTATTTAAATATAGCAGATTGATGCCGAGATCGAGAAGGTCAGTAGGGGACAATTCCTGCGCGATCGTTTCTCTGACCCTGTAATTTTTTCCCTCTATTTGAATGTAGCAGTTTTATGCCGAGATCGAGAAGGTTGACACTGTAAATATTTCCCTCTATTTGGGGGATAATCCCTGCGCGATCGATACCTGACAATGTAATTTTTTTCCTTCTATTTGAATACAGCAGAGTGATGCCGAGATCGAGAAGGTCAGGAGAGGAACAATTCCTGCGTGATCGTTTCTCTGACACTGTTAAATTTTCCCTCTATTTGAATTTTGTAGTATAGTGCAGAAATTGAGGAAGGGAAAACTTATGTGTTGTTCTCTAAGCGGGTTAATTTTTCGCATGTGATTGTCCCGTCTGAATTTATTGCTATGTTAACGTAATTGAAAAGGTGAATGGAGGAATTGTTAAGATTGAGCTTTTATTTTCTTGCGGTACCTAAAATGTGTTGTTTTAATATATTGCCGTGTTTTCAGGATTGGAAGTTTGAGGTTACATAACATGATACGCCTTATTTCTGTTGTTAATATAAACGGGTTAATTTACGATTAAAACTCCAAATGCTCTTGCTTGAATCAAGTTCTAGAACTGCATTTGATGTTTAAAATCCGACAATTCATACCGATTTAAAAAAAAATCTTGCTCAGTTTTGTTTAACACGCCGAAAGTTTGCACTTGACTAACATATTTGGACAAGGCCATGGTATATAATTCAAGCCGAGAACCAATGAACGTCTTCCCTCGACCGCATTAAAATTCCATCGTTCACGCTCTAACAACTATTTGTCTCGAAGAAACAGCTGTTTGCTGCAGTCACTTATTTTAAGTCTTCTTCCTTTGTATAGCAAACAATGATGTTGGCTCGATTCTACGCTCAGGTGAGATTTAATGCTTTTTCTGTCGGTATCTATTTATGGAATGAAGATCCATGCCATCACTCGCTTTAATTTGGATACAACTCATACCATCAACGCGTGGAGTGACTGCTGATTCATTCTATCAACACATTCGTCGCATCTCTGATTACGTTATTTCGTAGTAGTGCCACTAGTGATGCTTACATGTACCACCGCTTATCAATCGTGACGCATTGCTTTTCTGCTACCAAGCAGCTTTGTTGCATCACTGCACTAGCCCTCATCACTGCGTCTGTTACATCACTGTACCAGCTCTCATCTCTGTACTAGCTTACATCACTGCGTCACTTTCCACTGTGTGGCTTATCGAGCTGTCACTAAACAGTTTTTTTAATAACTCTCCAAGTCATTTTTTTTTTTTTCAAGTCAAACTCGTTCAGGATGTCCCAAATGAGGGCATAAGTGCATCGCTAAATGTGCCAAGTCACGTCGTTTAACTAGCAGCAAACTAGTGCATCTATCTTTGCTTGAGCTTCGTCGCTTTGAGCGACTTGAACTTCTGTTGCTTTATCATATACTTTCTTGTTCTGTGAATTTGCCAGAGTTAACTGGTCAGTGTTAACTGTCGACAGAACAATTGCTTTAGAGTTGCTTTGCTTTCTGTGTGTTGCTGCATCATTGTCTGTTTTGTAATTCCTTGTGGTGAAACTACGTTCTTTTCTATCATTAACATACAATAAATTGAATAATGCAATTAATATCTTAATTTCACTGGATGTGTGTTATATTACATCTTACACCATGAACACTGGCGTCGGTGAATCTCTTATCAATTTAGCGGAAAAACCAAGCAAAGAACCAAACGTTAAAATGCCTTCACAATCCTATAATCCTGAAGATTATAGATTGCCTTCTAATAACATTCTTTCCTAATGGAAGTTATGTGCACTGTGATCCTCTTTCTTTCACCCCCGCCACTGATATATTTTCAAGTTTATTGATGCGTTTTTTCAATCGTTTATTCACGTATTAATGCATTTTTTCAATTATTTATACTCGTATAATCTCCATCAGAACAAAGGACGTACAGCGCCTGCACCTACTCGTAAACAGCGCACTTGGGGTGGGGCTGGGCGGGACGCCAGGGGTGGAGCTGGGGGCGCCAGGGGCGGCACTGTGGACGACGATGATGAGGGCGGGGAGGAAGACGAGCCCACTAGTGAGGACGTGGCGAACTCTAACGTCCAGGACCTCATCCCTCGCACCAACATCGCTGCCCTCGTCACTGACGAACTCATCGCTGAGCTCGCTGACAAAAACTGGAAGGTTAGTCGCGCTCGATAACAAAAACTCGTTTTTAAGTTCAATGCTAGGATTGCTTCGGTATTTTAATGTTAATAACTCCTTTAGGATGGGAATATAAAATTTAAATTAATTAAGTTTTGGCCTAAACGTTACTTGTGATTAGTGATGCTATTTTTTCTGAATATTCCTTGTATGCTGCCTTTCATTTCAACAAAAAACTTGAATGATTCATAAAAGCATTTAGTCAATTATTCAGGTAGTTTTTCACTCATTTATCACTAAAAGATTCTGTTAACATCAGGACCCAGACTATGAGAACAAACCTTGACATTTGTCTAGTTAAGCTGCTTGTATAGAATACTTGAAGCAATCCATTTGATGTCCAAGCAATCCCATTTCTTGTTCAGGCCATAAATCACTGATATAAATGAGTGAGTCTTTGTTCAAATGGCGATGCACTTTTTGCCCTTATCTGGGTCATCCTGACCCAGTTTATAGCAGTAGAGAAGCATATCAGTGCTACGTTTGCTCCGTGCTTGTGCTGTCGGTAAGGAAATGAGTCTATTTTGGACAGTATGACAAAATAATTCTTTTGAGTGTTCACTACTTCACACAGGTTCGTGTTAAATGAACACAATAAAACACTCTATACCTCACACAGGTTCGTGTGAAATGAAGGCAATAAAATGTTCGTTTCACTTCACACAGGTTCGTGTAAAATGAACACAATTAAAGACTCAATTTCTCTATACTTCACACAGGCAGGGTCGTGTGAAATGAACACAATAAAATGTTCGTTTTACTTCACACAGGTTCGTGTAAAATGAACACAATTAAACACTCTATTTCTCTATACTTCACACAGGCAGGGTCGTGTGAAATGAACACAATAAAATGTTCGTTTTACTTCACACAGGTTCGTGTAAAATGAACACAATTAAACACTCTATTTCTCTATACTTCACACAGGCAGGGTCGTGTGAAATGAACACAATTAAATGTTCGTAATGCTTCACACAGGTTCGTGTGATATGAACACAATAAAAAACTCTCTACTTGCCACAGGTTCGCTCTGAGGCGCTCAGCAATGACACAATAATTCTTCTGAGTGCTCACTACTTTATCTTTATTTCGAAGGTTCGCCTGAAATAAACGCAATAAAATGTACGTTATACTTGCCACAGGTTCGCTCCGAGGCACTCAGCAAGATCTCCGGCGTGATCAGCTCAGCAAAGTTCATCACTGCGGACTGGGGAGACCTGCCGGGCGCCCTCGCTGCTCGTCTCAACGACACCAACAAGAACCTGGCGGTTGAGGCCCTCAAGGTGGTGGGGCAGCTCGCCGCCGCTGCCGGGCCACACTGCTCCCGCCACACCCGCACTGTTATACCTGGAGTGCTGCTCTTGCTGGGGGATGCTAAGGTTAAAGAACGCCTCAGCGCCTCAGCTGTTTGTTTTATAATGATGTATTTAACGAAGAATTAAGTATTATGTTAAAAAAAGAACCGCACTGTTATGCCGGGAGTGCTGCTCCTGCTGGGAGATGCTAAGGTTAAAGAAAGCCCGAGCTGTGTTATATAATGAAATATTTAACGAAGAATTAAGTATTATGTTAAAAAAAGACCTGCACTGTTATGCTGGGAGTGCTGCTTCTGCTGGGGGATGCTAAGGTTAAAGAACGCCTCAGCTATCTGTTATATAATGAAGTATTCAACGAAGAATTAAGTATTATATTCAATAAAAATATCCGCACTGTTATAATATGCGTGCTGCTCCTGCTGGGAGACGTAAAGGTTAAGGAAACTTTGATCAATTCGTGAAGTTATGGAGTACTATTATATTTATGAAATATATTGAATATTCTGAAATTATTTTTTCAACAATGTACTATACATTTTATTTTAGCTCTCTTTCCGACGGAAATATGGTATTTTTCATTGCTTTATATCCTTGTGGATAATTTAAATTTCTGTCCGTTTTATTAGTATTTTTCTTCCAGCAAAAGTTTATTCTCATAATTTTCCTGGATACAATAATATTCTATAAACCTTAATGCTACCTATACCAATTTCTTATCCTTTTCATGGTTGTAATATTCTAGAAACATTAACGCTTAATACGAATTCAGGTGAACGTGCGAGCGTCAGCGCAGTCGGTGCTGGAGTCGTGGGCGGAGCAGGCCAAGCCCAAGGAGCTGCTGGAGGGCGACACCTGCGTCGACGCCCTCAAGAGCGGCACTGTCTTCCTTAAGGCCGCCCTCTTCCCGTGGCTCGCTCAGCAGCTTACTGAGGGTGCGACGTCTATATTTCATTATGATATGTCATTGTTAGTAATATATAGGGTGCGTCGTCCATATTTCATTATCATATGTCATTGTTAGTATTATCTACGGTGCGTCGTCTATATTTCATTATCATATGTCATTATTAGTAATATCTAGGGTGCGTCGTCTATATTTCATTATAATGTATCATCATTGGTAAATCTAGTGTGCGTGGTCCATATATGATCATGATGTATCATTAGTGATGTGGCATCATCACTAGTAATATCTTGTGTACATGGTCAAAAAAATTGAACAAAGCAGTGTGTTACATGTGAATTAATAATTTGCATATGGTACATATAGCCTTGACCGTACATATGAATTAATAATTTATATGCATATAAGTGATGACTCACTTGTGAAGTAGTGTGTCACGCACATGTGTTTCACGTACATGTGAGTCATGCACATGTGTGTCACGCACATGTGTTTCACGTACATGTGTTTCACGCACATGTGTGTCACGCACATGTGTTTCACGCATATGTGTTTCACGTGTAGTACATGAAGTTGCTCCCTGAGGAGCAAATTGTCTCCGGTAGCTCACGTCTGGAGTAAGAATGATAACTGCAGGGATGTATTTTGCTGAAAATTTTATAATGGAAGCTAATTTTTTTTCCTCAGCTCCTCCAAAGAGCCTCAACAAAGAAGACTTAGGGAACTATGTGCCCCATATTTACTCTGGACTGGAGGACCGCAGCGCTGAAGTGCGTAAAGCTGCGACGGAAGCCGTGCTGCCTTTCATGCTGCACCTCGGATATGAGGGGATGTTGAAACACACGTCAAGGGTCAAGGTGATATACCAATGTGATGTCACCTCGGATGCAAAATGTTGAAACACACGTTGAGGGTCAAGGTGATGTACCAATGTGATGTCACCTCGGATACGAGGGGATGTTGAAACACACGTCAAGGGTCAAGGTGATGTACCAATGTGATGTCATCTTGGATACGAGGGGATGTTGAAACACACGTCAAGGGTCAAGGTGATGTACCAATGTGATGTTACCTTGAATACGAGGGGATGTTGAAACACACGTCAAGGGTCAAGGTGATGTACCAATGTGATGTCATCTTGGATACGAGGGGATGTTGAAACACACGTCAAGGGTCAAGGTGATGTACCAATGTGATGTTACCTTGAATACGAGGGGATGTTGAAACACACGTCAAGGGTCAAGGTGATGTACCAATGTGATGTTACCTCGGATACAATGTGCTAATCAAACACGCTTCTAGGGTGAAGGTGTGATGCACCTAGCCCCTAGTCTTGGTGCCCCTAAAAAGATAGCTTCTTGCAGCTTAGAAATATTTATGCCTATTCAACTGACAATTTTTTTACAATTTTATTATTTAGGCATTTTTTCAATTCTATTGTTACGACTTTTTTCAAAATTTATTGTTGAGACTGTATCAATATTGTTGTATGGACGTTTTGCCTGATTTATTGATGGAAGTTTATTCATTTGTGTCATGCTCGCAGCCCGCATCAAAGAACGCACTCATGGCCACGCTCGACAAGGCTCGCCTCAGTCTCCCCGCCAAGCCTGCACCCACGGTTGCCGCCGCTCGACAGGCACCCGCTAAAACAGCGGGTAAAATGGCTCGCCCACAGACGGGCGGTGGCGCCGTGGCTCCCGCCGCCGCCGCTGCCAAAAAACCGTCTCGTGCCGCCACAGCTCCTCCCGTAAGCCTTTGAGTTGCAATTCTTGACGAATATACCGCTGTTTTTTTTTGCACGAACGTTATCTCGATGAACTATAACTCATCGGCTGAATATTATTATTATGTCAGATTATGAAGTTAGGCTTGATCTTCCCTATGCTTGTTCATACTCATACTTGCTTATACTTAATTCTATTGAAGGTTTGTCACCGCCTCATGGGAATGGAATAAACCTTTATTTGGTGTTACACAAATTTCCTGTGGATTATTCATTTTGAATTAGTTATTGAATTTTTTCGGCACTTCGGAATTAACACTCACCATAATATTTGTCATTCAGCTGTGGAAACAAACATCTATTACTCTTTCAACCCGACCAAAAATAATTCTATTAAATCTTGCCGAAATCAAATGAAAATCAAAGCTTTTTCGAGTTTCTTTTTAGAGTTTACCAAGAGAATGAATGTGATTATAAAATTGATTGTTACTCGCAGGCTTCTAGTCGTAAAGGCGGCGATGACCAGGACACGTCGCCGCTACTGCCCGTGAATGGCCTGAAGCAACAGCGCGCGTCCGACGAACAGAAGCTCAAGGTGCTGCGCTGGGACTTCACTACTCCGCGTCAAGAGTTCATCACACAACTTAATGACCAGATGATGACGGCTGGTCTTAATAGGACCCTCATCACCAACATGTTCCATAAAGACTTCAACTTCCATAAGAAGAGCATTGACGCTCTCAATGAGGTAAGACTGCCTCATCACAAACATGTTCCATTAAGACTTCAACTTCCATAAGAAGAGCATTGATGCCCTCAATGAGGTAAGACTGCCATCACCAACATGTTCCATAAAGACTTCAACTTCCATAAGAAGAGCATTGACGCTCTCAATGAGGTAAGACTGCCTCATCACCAACATGTTCCATAAAGACTTCAACTTCCATAAGAAGAGCATTGACGCCCTCAATGAGGTAAGACTGCCTCATTACCAACATGTTTAGTATCAACAAGTTTAGTTTCAACAACTGTGCCAATAAGTTTAGCTATAGTTCCCGTAGACACTGCTAAAGATCTAATAATGTGTGCACTGCTTATTTAACTTGAGAAGTCATAATGAAGCTTGGCAGCCATCGCCATCATACTTTCTTACATTCTGACCAATAATTCAATCAATACCATCTTGTTGTTTTAGCATTTTGAGATTTGTCAGTAAAATTTTGGAAAAAAAATTGCTAGCCTTCATTATTGCTTTATTGAATTCTTATGAACTGACGTGTGATTCTGCCTTGAAAATGCAATTTGTGAAATTTTCATAAGTTACAAATGTTAATGTTTTTTTGGTGAATTTGATATCATCCTCTGCCTGCAGGACCTGGCAGATAACCTGGAGGCCTGCGTTTGCAACTTGGACATGATCCTGCGCTGGATGAGTTTACGTTTCTTTGACACGAACCCTTCTGTGATCATGAAGGCCATGGAATATCTCACTAATGTCTTCACGTATCTCTCTGACGACGGCTACCGCCTCATGGACTTTGAGGCTTATTCTTTCCTTCCCTTCATCGTTCAGAAGGTAAAAATGATCAAATTTTCATAGAATTTTATGGTCTTTGCTCGTGAGGTAATTGTATGAAATGATCACAAATAGTCAAAGCCATAAGTATATTATATGCAGGACTTTGATAATATGTTATTCAAACTGATAGTGCCTTTGTTTACCGCAAAAAGGAATGACTTTTCAGACCACTCGTCTGCTACAAATGTTTACGCGTATTTCTAAATCAAAAATAGAATCACGTAAACTAGCATATATCTCAATATCCGTAATATGGCGGCACATGATTTCCCTTGAAGCAGTCAGTGATGTTGCAAAATAATAGCAAGAAATGATTTGCAAGTTAGCCAGAGATTCTTGTTTTTGTTAATATTCGACCATTTAAAATGGTTCTTGGGGCAAATAATTGCCTCATTTCAAGAATTAGAAGAAAAAATGCTTGCACATTTAGAAGATGTGCTTAAAATTTTCACTTTATTTTTTGCCCAAAATTTTCACTTTATTTTTTGCCCAAAATTTTCACTTTTATTTAATTCAATGTATTTTTATATTAATGAGAATCTATCTTCATAACACTTGCCTTTGATGGATTTAATTGCATTGTGACTTGACAGACATGATTTTCCCGCAGTTTGGTGATCCAAAGGACGGAATCAGAGGCCCGGCGCGCAACATCGTGCGTCTCATCGTTCGTATTTACCCCGCCAGCAAAGTGTCTCCGTACCTCATGGAGGGTCTCAAGAACAAGAACGCACGCCAGCGAGCCGGTAAGACTTCAGTAGACGAAAGGAATCTCCTGACCAGCCTAATTGTTTCACTAAATTAAATATCTTGTAATGATTTCTTCCATATAATGATATAATTTCTCTAGGTTATAATGATTTCTTCCATAATTCTGAGTTGCTGCTCACGAAGTATCTGTGTTCTTCATCTACCGCAAAATTTCTGGTTTAATTAATGCATTTCTTGTTTTAATTACTGCTTTTTGTGAATTGCTGCATTTTGTGAATTAATTACTGCATTTTGTGAATTAAATAGTGAATTTCATGAATTAGTTGGTAAATTCTATAAAACTTCGTTACATTACTAGTATTTTGTGTGCAGAGTGCCTTGAGGCGCTCGAGGACCTGATCAGGCACGCAGGCATGACGGTGTGCCAGCCCTCGCCCGCCGTCGCCCTCAAGGATATCGCCAAGCAGATCAGCGACAAGGACAAAGTTGTGCGCAACGCAGCACTTAACGCACTAGTACAAGTGTACTTCATTGAGGGCGAGAAGCTCTACAAATATATTGGACAGGTGATGTACAAGTGTGCTTCATTGAAGCAGAAGCAAAATTAAGGATCAGGTGACTGTTCAGGAGCAACAGCAAGTGGATGGTAATCAAACTATTAGTAATGACATAGATTAGTGGGATAATTGATGTGAATGGAAATTAAAGTGCAAGTGTGAAATGAATTGAACTGGGGTGCCCTCTACGACACGAATAGCAGGACATTAGTTTATTCGTTGAGGCTAGGATTTATTGAGAAGTTAACGAGTCAAAACTAAAAGAGTTCTGACCTTTTGATTGATCATAAAATTCTAAATAACCTTGGTGGTCCCGTTTCATATCAATTTCTAACTCCGTTTCATAATTTTTCTAACTTATAAGAGATTCTAAGATATTGAACTCTGACATTATCACATAGCTCCATGTAATGGACATCAGTTTTTTTCCTATGTTTTTAATTTTAATTCAAAAGTTCTTGCTTAGATTGAAAATAGTTTTCAAATATAAAAATTTCATTCAGTCATTTATCACAATGATAGACCGTATCATTTCAATTATCCGAAATTTTTATGGAATGATAATCGTTCAGTCATTGTCAATGTGCATGCCTGTGCTGTTGTCGAGCCAAGACGGAAACTTTGAATTATCTTCATTACTTGCATGTTACATGCTCTCACTATCCATGGACCATGTATGAACTGTTTTAGCGCATTTTCTCATTTATGAAAAAAGGCGCTATTGTGCTCGTCATATGCGTCCGTCTGTCTGTCCGTCCGTGACTTCACACGTTTTCGTCGACGAGAAAATGCGCTCTCTGTCACTCACTGCAGTGAGTACTGAGTTATATTTTTTTGATTTTCATTGATCACATGTTACAAATTGTCACTATCCATGCATGAACATTTTTTTTCATCTTCATTATACTCACATGTTACAAGCTGTCACTATCCATGCATGCACTGTTTTTTTAATTTTCATTGATCACGTTAAAAATTATCTCATCCGTGCTAGAACATTTATTTTAATCTTCATTACATAAGTACCACAAGTTGACATATCCATACCCGCGCAGTTATCGAGCAAAGACATGGGCTTCTTGGAGGAGCGTATCAAGCAAGCCGGCAAGAACCGCCAGGAGCCTACCCTGCCTACGCCTGCCGTGGAGTTCACGCCGACGGTGCGCAGCGGTGGGGGCGGCGCCCCACGAGGAGGCAACCGCGTCGTGCCGTCCCCAGCTGGCGAGTTTAACCCCCTGGCCCGTGGGGCGGCCGCGGCACTGGAGAGCAACGCTGCGGCTGGGCAAGACGTTAACAGTCTCCTTCAGAGGTGGAGTAAAATATTTTTTGTTGACTTTACAAAGTTCTTGTCAGTTGGTTTGTTTAAAGCTCGATAGCTTTCTGTACTATTGTTTGTATATGTGCAATGGTTCAATTCGGTTCGGATAATGTATTGTATCTCGTAAAGATAACAAGAAGTGAAAACAATTGAGCTGCGGCATGAGTATTTCTGCAATCTTCAGACCATGCCTGTTAATCTAATCACCTGCATAACAATCAGCCATTTGTTAACCATCCGTCTAGCTTTGATGGTTAGGATGGAAATTTTCAAACGTGGTTGAGTGCCTTTCCGTCCACGTTAAAAAAGAAAAAAAAACATTTCTTTTTCTGAGTAACAGAAATGTATCGTGCAGCGCAAAAATTAATGTTGGAATAACATTGTTAGTTTGTTGTGCCGAGAGTTTGGTTCATACTCAGCTGCACAGGTACACACTCTTCATAATTTTTACGAAAAGCGTAATCTGCCTAGGGCATAATTACTGGCCCATCTTAGAAATATTTCCGATAAAGCTGAGTAGACGAAGTTGTTTTCTTGCATTATCTGACGTCTTCATTACTGTCTAAATATTAAGGTTCTAGTTCTAACGGGACCAGCTGTATTCGTCAACTGCAGACCTAGCACGCTAAAAAGTTTGTTGCTAACCTGGTTCCATAGGCGACCTGGCGTAGCTCGCTCCTATGATTGCTTGGACAATCCTCCGCGCTTCGACTCGACAGAAGACATTTACGACAGCGACCGGCAGTTGTCGAGTCCGTATTCAGACTACTCGTCGAGCTCGTGTCAGGATGAGCTTTATTACGACCAAGACGACACTCAAGACATGGAATCTCGTTCGTGGATCCAGCGACAACTGCGCTGCCGTACCGAGAGTCCAGCGTTTATAGAAGCTCGTCGTATTTCTCGTTCCCTGTCGTTCATTCTCGGTGAAGACGACGCGCTCTACCAACAAGACATGGATAACTACGATCGAGAAATGTTAAATCCGAGACCTACAAGAATTGGTAGAATTGCTCGGGATAGAAATGTTTCCCGACCTGGCCTTCCTCGTCCTCCTTCACGTGTCAATCCGCCAGTAGACATCCACCAAGCTCCTCTTCACCTCCACAATCAACAACATCAGCAGCACGTCATGCCTGCTATGCTGCATCGCACGGTCACGTCTCCACAACTCGAGCGGCAAGCTATTTTACTTGGCGATTTGCTATCTCGCTTTACCCTAGCGTGCGTGACGCATGAGGCTACAGCTCTGTGTCTCTCGTGTGTTGCTGCGACTGTCCCGCGTGATCATCTAATGGCCATATTTATATTTTTCAGCTTCGTTGCCTAATACCCCCAATAATGGCTCCTAGTTCCTTGCTACTTGACTGTCCTAAGCTGCAACACGGAGCGGACAATCAGGTTCCTTGTAGTATAAGTTTTCTTGCAGAATTTTATTCGAATCTATACGTGCGAAGAATTTTCAGTTTTGCGCTAGGAAGATTGACTCCGAGAGGCAATTAAAAAACAGCTGTCACTAAGTTATGTTGGCAGTGGTAATGGTAAAAGGCAATGGTAAGTGGGAATTCCACAGACTCCTTGCTCTTCCAAACCGATTTACAAGCAGATTCAATTTCTGTTCCTGATATGTAAACCTTTCCCTTGGTAAATGAGGATTGCTCCCTTGTCTCACTGAAGAACCCCGTAACGGTGAGCATCCTTATCGTTAAATTCACATTCCGGAACTCCAATTCCAAGTATTGTATGTTGGAAAAGCCAAGTTATTGCAAGGTTATCTGGTTGACCGGTTAGTGATTGCTACTGGACAAGACAGACTATGCCTCTCGCAGATTTTCCCTTAAAATGGCGTTTCTATTAAATTTTACCGTCCACACCCATCTTGAGCATGTGTAATCATTTCCAAACCCTAACTAATTTCCAACAATAATGTTCGTCAATTAACTCAATTACATGTGAAGTTTGTTACAAGCCTGACTCTCATTTCTTTTCCTCATCTGTGGACGACTGGACGTTCCCAAAAAATTTCAAAACACTGTCTTTTACCCGCCTCCTGACAAATGACGTTGAAACAACGGTCATTACGCCTTTATTTCGTCGAAAGAACGTTTAATGAACGTTATTTCAACACCAGCTGCCTGTGGGTAACTCTCGCGTGGCTTATTTGCTGCTGTTGGACCGGTTTTGAGTAATTCAGCTTTCACGGGACATGATTCAGTCCAAAAACAAATTCTTTTTTCTCTCCCACATTTGGACGTAAAAACGAAAATTTAATACTGTATATTGGACGTAGAACATCTTTGATATTCGGTCTCAAATCCCTGGATTGCCTCGACCAATTTTAATGCCCTGGCTTTCATTCGTGTGATACGGTATTCCTACTCACTCTTCGATTGTTGGCTTCAAATATAGGCAGTATATTGAGTGCGTGTCTGTTTAGAATATAGAGAAGTGTAGATTGGCGTTTCTATGTGCATTGATATTTTTATAGTAAATCGGCGCCCTCCATGACTCGGTGTCACTGGAGTCGAAGGAAACACATTTTTCGTAGTTATTTCTTATATCATTTACAAATTACTATAATCTGAAGTTTTGTCAGTAAATAACGCTGTTAAGACGGACTTTCGTAATTTAAATTTATCTCGGAAACTCATGCTTTTCATTTCACGCTTCGACTTAGAATTTAGATGATAGTTTAGTTTTATTAAAGAAATTATGTATATGAATACTCGCTGAATTGATTCTCATGTTTCTGTCCTTATTGGTTTAATATGACGACATTCGTTAACACTTTCTTGTAGTTTTCAGATACATTGAAGTTGCTTATTCACACTGTTACAGTGAATCAGCTTCTAGCTTTTAACTTGATCTTTTTTGTTTTAAAAGGTTTTTCTTTTTTCTTCCCTGTGAAAGGTATAATTGTTTATGGTATAGTTATCACTACTGAACAAATACGTAAACAATTTTCACTTAAGTATTTTTAAAATCCCTGTTTATGGTGTGGGTTTGATTTTTTTTCTAAATTCGGAGGAGTTTAGGCCAAATTTGTGTGTATTGATCTCAATTGTTGCTCATTTCCTTCTTCCACTTACCACGTGGGACCAAGCGACGTCGGAAAATTGCAACACTCTGTGTTTCTGAATTGATTTTTTTAGTACATTATGTACATAGACGAATGCTTGTTAGAAAAGATTTATATAACCGATTATTTGCTCAATATTTCTATTTTTGAGGTTTCCACACCCATGGAAATAAGTGAGACGTTGTCTAAATAGCTAGGCATTTTTTTGCCATAGTGTGTGTCATCCTTAACCAGTTAGGCCCAACAAAGGGGCGTTTTAGTACTACGTCCAGTTTCTGCTCATGCTGTGGGTGAGAACGTGTCATTATTTGGACCATATTACCCATCCATTTGTCTAAGTGCCATCGTTGTATGGCCCAAAATCGTAACGCTTGTGCTATCAGTTCCTTCATATCTTCTACGACTCAATATAAGCTGTTTATACGCTTCCTTTTCTTATATAGTCCTGTATTTCTTGTTCTCTCTAATCCTTTGATCAATGAAGTTGTTATCTGAGTGGTTTGATAGTGTTAATTTTCGATTATTTTAATGTAATATCGTTAGGTAGAAGAGCCCAATCGAAGCTGGACTAACCTTATAAGAACCACGATTTAATTGGGTTTTATAATCATGTTATTATCTTAATTTGAGTTTCTCCAATCAATTTGTAATAAAGATTACTTTTTTAACATTTTTTACAGAGCATTTTTGAAAAGATCATTGTGTTTAGAATATTATAGTCTTTGTTCTCTATGGAAATATTTTGTGACAAGACCGACTGTGAATAGCCTTCGCTTTGTTTTTTTTACTAGTTTTAAAATGAGTTACATTCGTAAAGGCTCTTTATAGGATTTATTACTGGCCTTTAGTATCTTATTTGGACTATTTTAAATACCGTTAGTGATGTGATAATATTATATTATCACATCACAGTATTATAACACTTCACATTAATAACATGTTATGGTGAAAATAATGGAATCCTCGAATTTGCGTTCCCTTTAAATTTTGAATAATGTTTTCGTTTGTAACTTGGTGATTTCATCACGCTTTCTAGCTGCGTCTACGCGCTTTGAAGTGACTAGTTTATTGTTGCATTTTTTACTACCATTAATATTTGGCAAATTTCATTGGTTCGATATTCGCCTGATCTATCAAAGGTGTTTTTCCCATTTGTATAAAAAATGGATACCATGAATGAGAAAATGTATTAAATTAATTATTTGCTGATTTTGATTTATATAAATTAGTAACTATTAAATTATTAGTAACAAAAAATGTTATTTTTGTGAATTTCAATATATTTCTAATATTTCAGGTACAGACAGCGTGCACCAAGCAACAACAGCGACTCTGGCGCTAATAAGTCTGCTTTCACGCTCGACTACAGCGTCGTGGAGAAACTGCTAGAAGATGATGACAACAAACCAATCAAGGTTAATTAGATCTTTCCACTAACATTTAAACTTGATAACGACATGTCAAGGTTTGTTCTGGTCTCCCATCAGAACTGCATTCCTGACAATGAACCGATCATGGTTTGTCATGTTTTTGGTAATTAGATGTTTTGGTTAATTATATGTTTAGGTTAGAACAAACCAATCAAGGTTAATTAGATCTTTTCACTAAGATTTAAACTTGACAACGAGTCAACGACATGTCAAGGTTTGTTCTGGTCTCCCGTCAGAACTGCATTCCTAACAATGAAACGATCATGGTTTGTTCAGATTTCCATCAAAACTTCAATATCAACAAGGATTATTATTCCTCCAGGCTTCAGGCATATCAAAGTACCAATGTTGAATGTTCACGTTTATGTCGAGAAATCGTAGACTGTATCGCGGTTCGACAATCTTGCACACCGTACGGCGTTAGCATCAGAGACGTTCTGCTCCTTGTCGCGTACAGCTGTGATCATGAGAAACGACTGTTACTTTCATCCTTTAAGACTGTTTTTCTCATTTATTCAATTTTATTAACAACACCACGGAAAAATCATGATTGTTATTGGACTAGTAGATGTAAAAATTTCCTGAAAGTCGCATTTAATAATTCCATAGGCCTTACCTTATGCTTGCTCCCTGTTCGTTATGAGACGATAATGTTTTTCTTGGTTTAGTCTTTAAATTGAAATGAATCAAATACAATCAAGCGGCGAAATGGACGCATGTTGTGATGTATACCGTATGTTCTGCTTATTATTATCCCTATTCGTGCAAACATAGAGATACACGATTTTGCTTATTAAATTTTATATTAACTTTTCGTTTTATTTTAGGTGGAGGTGGAGTCTATCCCTGACTTGAACTCCTTGATGAACTTCAATACAATCTGCCCGACACTTACGTCCAGGTTTGTTGGGAGTGACCACTGCATGTGGCTGATGTTTGCTCGTAACACTGTAACGGTGTTAGTTACACTGTGACGGTGTTATAGTTACACTGTAACGGTGTTAGTTACACTGTAACGGTGTTAGTTACACTGTAACGGTGTTAGTTACACTGTAACGGTGTTAGTTACACTGTAACGTCGTTAGTGACGGTGTTACACTCTGACGGTGTTCATAACACTGTAGCGGTGTTAGTTACACTGTAACGTTGTTCGTTACACTGTGACGGTGTTCATAACACCGGCGGTGTTCGAAACACTGTGGCGGTGTTTGTAACACTGTGACGCTGTTATTCACTCTGGAATTTCAAGCCCTAGCCTCGTCATTTGGGCTGCATTCATGATTACTCTTCGCTGCAAAAATGTGTCTGCTTCATAAAAGGCTAATTTTCTTATCTGTAATATTCGTTTATTATCCACTTATTCAGGTTGGCGCAGCCTGGCTTCACTACCCTGAGTCGCACCAACGCCAACTTGGAGGCTGAAGATGCATCTGAAGCCATCAACCTTGTCATTTCACAGGTAAGAAAATTCAACATTTTCTTAAAATAAAAATGCATTCCGTTATTATTCATTGTAAGTGAATGTGTGTTATTCACTGACTGCTAACTATTTGAGGATAAATGAACAAGAAAATGAATAACGAATATTGGTGATCCCTACAAACTGCCACCTATAAACTTGAAAACTTTTTTAATTTCATAAAGATGTAATGTTACATTCTTTTTTCGTGGTTTCAATTTGTGAAGGATTTTTTGTACATCATTCTACTTGATTTCCCGTTGAGCGATTCGTCTCGCGTTAAAGTGACTCGGCTCGCAAGACCAACAACCTGTAGAACAAGATAACCTGTTCATAACACACATCTTTTGGTAACAATATCCTCTCACAAGACCAATGTTCATTCACTTGTTTATAATAATTAACACTAATGCTCATCATTAACACTAATGCTCACCTTTAATGGTTTCAATAATAATTAGCACTAATGCTCACCTTTAAAGGTTTCAATAATAATTAGCATCAATGCTCATTGACTTGCCGCACCACCTGACCTAACTTTCACCCACGGCAGGTGAGCTCCTCGTCACCAGCTGTGGTAGTGCGTGCGCTGTGCCAGCTGGACGAAGTGATCTGCAGCACAGACCAGGAGCGCTGGCAGCAGCTGGTCCCCCACGTGGACCAGCTGCTGGTCATGGCCACGGTCCAGTACCGACTTGTGCTCAATACGAAGATGAACGACCCTGGCTCCAGGGGCGACTGCGTCAAGATCTACAGAGCTCTCACCAATTGTCTCATGACGGTACTTTGCTTTTAAAGTTTTAATACTCATTATCACTGTACTATCTTCATCGTGATGATAGTTCATTAATTTGTTTCACTTTTCCCAAGCATTTTCAGCACAAAAAGTTTTTTCGTTTCCTCCGGTTATCACTGCATTATCTTTGTCATGATTTCCCGGGCATTTTCAGTGCAAAAAGTTACTTCGTTTTCTCTAATGATGCTGGCTTAGTTGTGCAAGTATCTAAGTTTGATGTTTTTTAAAACTATGAACTTTATACGGTATACCTGAATATCTAAATTACTACTTTCACGACATTGTAAATAAACTTTTACCTAAATATCTAAGTTTACTTCTTTCCCGAATAAATGAACTTTACTCTCCATCTGAACCGTTGTCTAATTACGTGCAAATGCCGTCAGATCTTCAACCGGCCTGAGCTTGCGGTGGTGGCGTCACGTGACGTGATGAGTGACGTGTGGCATGTGCTCTTATCTACGCTCATCGACGCTCGTCTGGCGGCGCTCGACGAGGGAGCGCAGATCATACGTGCCTTCAACGTGCTTGTTGTGCGCATGGCTGAGAAAGCTGACTTCACCAGCGTCTTCAGGTGAGTGATGTGTGAATGTAGCTGAGAAGGCTGCCTTCACCAGCGTCTTCAGGAGAGTAATGCGTGCATGTAGCTGAGAAGGCAGACTTCACCAGCGTCTTCAGGTGAGTGATGCGTGCATGTAGCTGAGAAGGCTGCCTTCACCAGCGTCTTCAGGAGAGTAATGCGTGCATGTAGCTGAGAATCAGCGTCTTCAGGTGAGTGATGCGTGCATGTAGCTGAGAAGGCAGACTTCACCAGCGTCTTCAGGTGAGTGATGCGTGCATGTAGCTGAGAAGGCTGCCCTCACCAGCGTCTTCAGGTGAGTAACGTGTTCGCGTGGCTGAGAAGGCTGACTTCATGTAGGGAAGAACACGGGTGATAAGTTTAACATTATTTTATAGTAAAGCTGGTGCATTTGTTCAAGGATCGTCTTGCATTCAATCACTGAAATTGTTAGATTTTTACGTTATCACGATGCAAGGTTTGAGTTATTATCTGTTAGGGAATTTCTCTCATTTTCGACGCATAATTACCAGGAATGCGACTGCATTATAGTTTCTCTCAATATATTTTTTGGGCATAATTACATACGTATCTGTAATAGTTTTACACTAATAAAATAACATGTCTTTAAAACTTTGTTAGAAATTATCATGGAAGATCTTTCATGTTATTTGTTTTCAGTGCGTCGTTGAAGTTGCTGCACGACTGTGTGGGAGCAGGCGGCAGCGGTGGCAAGTTCGGCGAGCTTGTGCTCAAATGTAACTGGAAGATAATACAAATGCTGTCAAAACGCACCACCAATCTCGATCTGACTGTCATCTTGACCGATGTTCATCACTTCCTCACGGTGGGTGATGCTGTCGCTTCTCTTCAGCGTTTGGTATGCAATTTACAGTTCTTATTTATGTTTGTCAGTTATTGTATTTTTTATGTTACCTACATAGTGCATTAATATCATTATTTTATAGATATCATTTTAACCGTAAATTCCTGATAGATACAAACTTCTTGTCTGTACTGTCAATCATTTTTGTGTCGTAAATAGTGTCTGAAATTATTAAAATCTACCGTCCGGTATATCTTATTCTATTCCGCCCTACTATTTCTCAATAAAAATGCTTAATTTTGAAGTCATAATAGGTAGAAAAAATGGTCATTCATAACATTCATACTCCAATAACACATGAGTCGGTCTCTTGATTATTACGCCGTTGTGTTTCGTCATTACAGTTGTTGTACCTCATTAACATTCTAACCAACCGTTTGATTATCACGCCTGTCGCTTCCTTCATTACAGTTGTACCTCATTAACATTTTGACCGATGGTTTTATTATCACGCTTGTCTTCCTCCATTACAGTTGTACCTCATTAACATTTTGACCGATGGTTTTATTATCACGCTTGCCTTCCTCCATTACAGTTGTACCTCATTAACATTTTGACCGATTGTTAGATTATCACGCCGTTGTCTTCCTCCATTACATTTGCAGCTCTTTAACACTGGCCGATGGTTTGATTAACACGCCGTTGTGTTCCTTCATTGCAGTTATACCTCATTAACATTCTAACCAACCGTTTAATTTCACGCCTGTCGCTTCCTTCCTTACTGTTATACCTCATTAACATTACGACCGATCGTTTGATTATCACGCCTGTCTTCCTCCTTTACTGGTGTACCTCATTAACATTTTGACCGATGGCTTGATTAACACGCCGTTGTTTTCCTTCATTACAGTTGTATCTCATTAACATTCTAACCAACCGTTTGATTATCACGCCTGTCGCTTCCTCCATTACAGTTGTAACTCATTAACGTTTTGACTGATGGTTTGATTATGACGCCGTTGTGTTCCTTCATTACAGTTGTACCTCATTAACATTTTGACCGATGCTTTGATTATCAAACTGTTGTCTTCCTCCTTTACAGTTGTACCCCATTAACATTTTGACCGATGCTTTGATTATCAAACTGTTGTGTTACTTCATTAAAGTTGTACCTCATTAACATTACGACCGATCGTTTGATTATCACGCCGTTGTTTTCCTTCATTACAGTTGTACCTCATTAACACTGACCTATGGTTTGATTATCACGCCGTTGTGTTCCTTCATTACAGTTGTACCTCATTATCATTACGACCGATGGCTTGAATATCACGCCGTTGTGTTTCTTCATTACAGTCATACCCTATGAACACCTGGATGGACCGGTCCGACGTCCCTCTACGCACCATCAAGACCGTCATACACACGCTCTGTAAAATATATGGCTCGGCTGTGTTGCCGCACCTCGACTCCATCAAAGGAGCTCATGGCTCCGACCTGCACAAATACATCACAAAGACGCTTAAGGTAAATGCCTGTGTCACCTTACCGTTTTTATCGCGTTTAAATTTTATTTTATGTTGAATAATAATAGGCTTTGCTATGAACTTTATTTTAACTGTCATAGGGGCTGTATATGATAAATAATTCTAAAAAGTTTCTATACGGTCAAAGATTTTCGTAATATGAACATTTTCCTTGGAAATATGCTGTCCCTTACTTTACGGTTGCTCTCCAGTGATTTTATGTGGTCTGGTACCGGCTTTTTAAAGTCTATTTCTGAATTTATTATGTAAAATCTTTTAAGCCTGATTTATATTATAATTTCTCATAAATAACTTATAAAATACTAAGATAACTTCAATAAAGCAATTCTTAATTATTATTATTCATAAATATCTTGAAACTTTATTTATATCTATCTTTTGAGTATCTTTAACTTCAATGAAGAAATTCTTCATTATAATTCTTCACATATTTCTTGAAACTTTATCTCTTTTTTATCTATCTCTTGAATATCTTTAACTTTAATGAAGCAATTCTCGATTTTATCTCTGCAGAAGGTTGGTCATGAAGGGTCCGGAGATGTTGCCAAGGAGACGAGCGTCCCTGACAACCAGAACCTGCTGCAGCAGCACAACAAGGTTGCCTGCAATATTTATTAAGTACTATCTAGTGAAATTATATCCCGAAGTAATATTTTCATGTTCATTGGAGAGAAGCATTTTAAATGCAGCGATTTTAAAAATGTATAGTCATCGTCCAGTCTTAAGAAAGAGTTTTGAGCCCCAAAGCAATGGTCGTCTGATGTGAATATTGCAGCATGTTGGATTGTAAATGAACTATACCACTCGTTTTCATTCTTTAGTTTTTTTTTTTTTGTAAAAGTTTGTTTTCATTGTTAATTCTCCTCTTCCAAAATATAGAAGCCTTTTCTTTCTGTATAAGTAGCGATCATAATTACAAAACATTTTCTTATCTGTGCGCAAAATATAATATCAATTCTTCAGTACCCGGACAAGGAGCATTCTGTCTTGGAACAATGAACTCGCGCGTCGAAGATCATTCCAGCATCTGATCTTTTATGTGATGATAAACAACCTTTCTCTAATTTTGTCTAAAATGATATAAACAGCCTCCTTTTTTTATTTAATCTTTAAGGTGATGACAATCAGCCTAACTTCAAATGACTATTATAGCTTTGAAGAGATGATATTATGATAGCGTTAGTTAATAAAAGTTTAAGTAATACAAGCGTTTCTGTGCAGCAACATCAGCTGGCGGCCGCCGCGTCGCATGCCACCTCCAAGTCCCCCAAGAGGCTCAGCAAAGCCGCCAACAACTCCTTATCTGAAATATTCCGTAAAATTGGCTCCAAAGAAAACACCAAAGAGGTGAGCATTTAGTTTTTGTAATCACCGGTGTCGTTAATCCATACGTTTCAATGTCGCAGTTCTATGCCTGCAGATTGTGGATTTAATAGAGTCCTTCCAGGCTTTTAAGAAGGAATAATAATATTTTATGGCTAAAACATACATAAAAAATATAACTGTTACTCAGCTGAATTAACGTTTTATTCATTTAGTTGCTTTTCGTCTGAAGTTTTACGTTTTAACTAGAAGTGCCTTACACCTCAAAGACTGATAAACGTTTAGAGTTACTTGACCAAACATCACTTTGACCAGATCTGGCCAAAATGCCAGGTTTCAGATCTGCTGTTAGGCAAAAAACATTGCAACTATCGGCGACAGGACAAACTTGGCCTATTCGTCAAAACTGACACTACTAGACTGCAATCTTATTGTACTATCGTATTGCACGATATTAAAGTAGGATATCGTACCATGCTTATCCTATTTCTGATGCGCAGGGCCTGGTCGAGCTGTACGAGTTCCAGCAAATGCATCCTGAGGCCGACATCAGTCCATTCTTGAGCAAAGCTTCGCTGTTCTTCCAGAACTACATTGAACGCGGGCTCAAGAAAGTCAAAATGGAGAGAGAAATGAAATCTTCGGGTTTATCCACACAACTGGGCACAGAAACAAATTCAAACGCAGGTAATGGAAAATTTTATCCTAACGTACGAGCTTCGGAAAAACTGTCTTGTTGACTCCTTGGTCTTGGCTCTCGTTCTATGAACAAGAGTTTTATTCAATGGAATAGAAAATTTGTGTGTAAACCGTTGTTCATTCGATCAAATGTTGTGATTTGGATTTTTCTCGTCTGCTCTTACATTAATTTACAACTTTTTTGCTTGTTTTTCATTTATTTTGTTTAAAAAATGAAAAAAATTCGAATTTATTGGATATGATTTTATTAATGCCAAGATATTTTTCATTGATCAGGTCCCCTGTCCTCCATCCAAGTGAGCACAGAGGCACAGAATGCTTCTTTTAACATGAACGAACTCGTGGACGAGTTTAAAACCTTGGCCAGCAAGGCAGGCTTCGACAATACCTACATCGCCTCAGCAGTTAAGGACATTTGCAGCAGCGAGAAGAGCGACAAAGTTAAAGATTATAACAAACTTCTCCAGTCCGTCTCTTCTATCAACAAAGATCAGGGCAAAGAATAAACCTTCATTATAGTTAATATAAATTTCTTCGAAAGGAATTGAATTCTCATTTAAACAGCGTAGAATCATAGATTGGTTTTCATCTAGCGCGGTGCGTGCTGAGCGCGATCTAATTCCGTAATACTCGTCAAAGTTTTAGTCAGCAAAAGTTCCGTTAGTGGAGGGTACCTCGGTCGTTACTGGGGGAATTGTACCCTTGCATCCAAATGCTCTAGTCTGATTTTGCTTCTGTATCTTATTGATATGCTCAGCATGCAACTCTTAACACGTGGTTATTTCTTTAGCAATCCCCACAATTTGCACTTCAGTCCTACTGGTATTAGCGGTCATTCTTTTGGATGTTTGCGTTACTAAAACAATTATGCCATAAAATACTTAGATACAATCGCCATAACTTATTTTTTTGACGGGTCTTAGTAACCAATATTCGCTCCATTATTGTAAAATATATTTTATTACTACTCTATCATCCTGGTCTTGCGTCACTCTTTTTCGAAGGCGAAAAGATTTTATTTTCGCTCAGCTTAAATTCCTTCTCATGTTCGTATGCAAGTATTTTTCGTATGCTTAGATGATCCCTCCTCGCGTGTTCTGTTCTTGCATAAGAGTTTCAAGTTTCTTAGCTAATGTTGTTTTCATGATTGAACTAAAAGTCATGCTTCTCTTCGACTTATATTGTGATTTTAACTAAATTCGGGTCTAGCACTGAGCTAGGCATTACTTATTTGCATGGAGTTAGAGATTTGCGTGATCTCCGTTCGATGCGACATACGCGCCTACGTTCGTTATTTTATTGAACGTAGTTTCTGTTTGCAGTTAACCTTACCGTTATTATCTCCAAGCTTTAAAGTCTCAGGTCTGCGAATGAAAAATAATTATTACACATTGAGGTCTTCTGTATACTGTAATGTTTGCTTTCGTTGTGGGATAGATTTGTATCTCGTGTTTCTCGACTGGCGGAAGTCATCTGGAGATCTCAATGTTATATTGAGACTTTCGTGTGTAATGGTCGTTTTTAATTTCAGATTTGTTCCATTGTACATTCTTCTAACTCAGTGTTGCATCATAGATGACTTATCATTAGCTACGCTAAGGCAGGATGTGACTAGATATAAATATAACTTTACATTATTTCATTAACGGATGTCGCTTTGCTGTGTGCTTTTTAATACCGAAAATTACTGAGTGAACGCTTGTATATTTAGTAGGGTTTCCTCTTTATGTCAGGTTTAATTTGATAACGAATGAAATGCCATAAAATTGAAATATTTCCACAGCCGGATAAAAAATTCGATGCGTCTATGCATATCACATATAACTGACGTTAAAACTTGGGCGCCTGCGGCCAATTCAATTCATGCTTAGTTGTTTTTTTCCTTTGTAGGTACGGTTTGGCAGCCTTTTTTAGCTCTCAGATTGCCTTTATCATAAGCTACGCTGATGAATTGGCGTAGACATTCAGATTGCCTCTATGGACATTCAGATTGTCTCTATGGACATCCAATTTATCCCTAGAGCAAAGATCCGTTCCAGCAGCAGAAATACTTGAAACTTAACTTGTATCCAAGGACGACACCAGCGGTTGTGCCATTAAGGAATTTGTCGAGGTATAAAACAGGATTTCTATAATGACCCTAGGAGCGGTACGGCTAGACGCGTAGCACTAGTATATTGAAACAATAATTGATGATGGAGAGGCGCTCATGTGTCAGGTCACAAATAAGTGCTGAGGGCCAGACGCTACGCAGATATTCTGATGCTAATATAGTCTCATCTTTTCTTAACGACCATTGTTTATGTCAGCTATCATATAGGTTATTCATGAATTCAGAGTTACCAAATGTTTGATAGGCTCTATTTGTCTGAAAGATTGAAAATTGTCTGATATTTCCTCTGATGTTTCGACGCCTTTGTGGTTTTATTATGACAGGAAATATGCTCCCTATCTGACGTTATACGATAGAATCTTGTTTATATCGTGTACGAAGTTGTCGCTAGTTATTATATCTTCTTAATATTTGCTCATGCTACTAAACAAGTTTAGAATGCGTTATTTCTCTTATAAGGTATTACTTCATTCTAATTACAATGTTTATAATCTTTTAGGATAACCAATGAATGAAGCGTCTCACGCAGAAATTTTATTCAGTTTAACGACGTTCAACGGAGTTATTCCCAGCGCGAAATTTGTGCTCTGAAGTCATCGTGTGTGCATCATTCCGAAGGACGCGACTCGTTCTAGCCTCGTCATTCCATCCCTTCTTCATTGACGACTCAATACGCTTGCTCTCGTCTCGCGGCAGGTTATATTTTTTTACCAATTTTTATGTGTTCAATTAGTTTGGTTATCATTTTAGATTTGTCGAACCCCGCTAATAATTTTCCGAGATTCCATTTTTTCTTGATTTTTTCGTAAAGAACAATCTTGGTTTATACTAGGAAGCCTACCAGGGTAGCTACTTGTGTCGCGTATTACATATACGAACATTGTTATGGCAATGGTTCCGGGCTTTTCATTTTTATCAATTATGTCGTAATATGACTTCATGTATGAATAAATGGATATCAGGAATGTTCCCACGTATGCATCTCATAGGAATTTGTCATAAGTTTATGAATTTCGTCTGCGCTTCCTCATGTTTTTTCGTATTCTGAAATAGATCCGAGCGTCGCATCGTTGATATGATTTAAGCTTTTAATTTTAACTGATTATTAGTAAATCGTGCATGTCTATGGACTAAGAAGATAGTATAATTCTAGATCAAACGATCGATCTGCTTGTAACTTAATTTTGATTGTAACTGCACTTCCGAACGCGACTTAAACTCTAAGCCATGTGAGAATGGTTGCCTCCTAACCACCCTTCGTGAAGTGATCCTTTCTTATGACCTCGTGAAACGGCCGAGTGATGTACCAAATATACTTGACGTGCCGCCATGTGTTTCTACCATCCACCCTTATTTTATTCTCATAAATATTTTAATAGGACGGCGTTCAGTTTGAACGATTATTAGAACAATGAGAGAGAGTATATAAGAAACGAACAGTTACACATGTTATTTTGCATTGGAAGATCTCTCCTTCATAACTCGGCTGATTTTATTAGGTTGAGCAAGTAACAGCTGGATGATTATGGAACATGAGAACCACCCTGTTTAAAATTTCAAACTTGCGGGAGCTTAGTTTTCATTGATAATTTAACGACACAGACTGGCTTGATGATATGATTGCTTCAATCCAAACAGATTTTCATCCAACTACTCGCTTCAGATAAGTTATATTTTGTGTAATTTTAAAATAGAATGCATCTTCTGTGTTCACCTAGGATTACATTGAGTGAATGCATGGTAAGAAAGCGAGCTCAGCGGTAACTTTTCAGTGCGCATGCAAGGATCAGGCTATTGTAAAGGCAGATAAGCTCCATGTTGTATCAATGAATAGCACTCTTGCGAGATAACGTATATGGACAGATGTGTATTCTATCATCGCGAAGTGTCATCGTTTCGTGGCTTTCTGCTCCTAAAAGCTTTGTCCCTGTTGCCTATAAAAATTGAAACTTTTTTTCTAACTCTCCCTGGAAAAAAGGGATGAAACTTCGAGGAGGTAGTGCAATACCGGGCCGATCGGTATTGCAAATAAATATCTGGGACCGAATTTTGTAAATTCTTGGACACAATTTCCTATTGTCCCCTGAAGGGTTACTAGAATTTGAAACAAGAACCAACACCAGGGGCCACGGCTATAAGCTAAAAAAATTGCGCTGCAACTTCTCCACGCGACAAAATTTCTTCTCGCTTCGAATCACCGACATGTGGAACAGCCTCCCCGATGACATCGTTGGAGCTCCAAGTATGAACGCGTTCAATATCAGACTAGATAAAGCTATGGAAAAATATATGTTCAGATTTGAAATGCCTAGCTCCTTATCGAACCCGGTGGAAGTCTAGTAGCTTCTTCAAACTATCGCCAGTCATGAAAAGATCCGGTCAAATGACACAGGTTTAGATCTATGAACAAGGCACGAAATGGAAAAGAATCGGCGACAGGCCACATCAGGCCTACACTTCAGAGCCGACATCACTATGTTATGTTATGTTATGTTATGAGACAAAATTCAAAATCCGTAATTTCCAAGGAAATGCATCTTTTTCACGAAACGAAACTGGACGTAACAGTTGACAATTGTACTAAAATTTAAATATTGAATTTTTTAGACTTGGACAATATTTTTTCTGGTCATTTATAGCAATATTTCAAGTATTTCTCTATGTAAATTGATATTTCAAATGCCCGTCTCGCAAATTTGAAGGGGTAAAAAAAGTCCGTCTACACTCTTTTTAACGGTCTATCCCGACGCGGCGTCTTCGGAATGCACTGATATCTTGGGACCTTTAGAAGGCGCTCTGCGCTGCATTAGGCTACAAAACATAGGTGCGTTTTTATGAAGCGCAGCAAATATGACTCGTTTTTAGGGAGAAGCTTACCAGCAAGTTATTCTACCAGCCGTACGTCGTCCAGTCCATGGTTGAAATAATATTAATTCAACCATGGTCCAGTCTGCTCATTACCATAATTTTCCTATTGAGATGACAGGCAAATATCGTCAAATATATCCAATGGCTCTTAATAATGATAATAATAATTTATTGAGAGTTTAACATGTTAATCCTTAATGCTCGCTTTCGAAATGTCTCGTTGTTTCTTGTAGCTCAATCGAATTTCTCAAATTGTAATCTTAGCCTCGTTGCGAATCTTTCTCGTTAGGTTTCATGATATCTGGGACCGAATTTTGTAAATTCTTGGACACAACTATTGTCCCGATTTATAACTTTATTCGTGGTATTTTTTTTTTTTTTTTTGTCTCGTCATTTTATTCAGGACAGTACTCGTCAGGTCTTGTAGTCTCGATTCATATCGAGACACAGCAACCGAATCGACACAGCAAGCTTCACACTTGCGCATAAATCAACACGATGCATTCCGCGGGACCGGCTGTGTGCCTTGGAAGCTGAAAAAATTTACCACTGCTGTTCATGAACGTTATTCATTATTATTCAAGTTCTCGCACTTCTAACTGCTATTTTTCAGTAAATTATCACAGGGATATCACGGATAGAATTATGAAAGGCATGCGTATTTAGAATTTCAAAATAACGGTCACAATTTCATGCCAGTTGACTCCGTCATCTACATGGTTGAATATTAATTCAACCATGGTCATCTAGACCTTAAACTGATGTTTTGACTGATAAAACATCATTATTAAGCCCATAACTAAACTATTTAATTAAGCAGACATCATTTTATATGTTTTCAGCACAGACACTTTGATGAATTAGGAGCTTGTTAGCGCGGCGTTATCCAGAATCGGAAATTATAATCCTTTAACTTTTATAATTCAGTTATTCCATTTATAAGAATTATACTAATATATGCTACTTGAAGGAAAACGTATTCAAACTCACACTCTACAGAGAAAATAGAACTCCCATTGCAGAATGAATTTTTATTTGTTGACTAATTTCATACTATTTAAAAAAATCAAATTTCCAGTTTGGTTCCATCTTTTCCTCCAATATTTTTTTTTCTATTCTCTCTTCAAGAAAAAATTTTCAGGTCCCGACACGGTAGGTATCCTGGATACGCACCCACCAGCTCCTATATACTCGCATATGCGGCGCCAGGCTCCAAACACACACTTTAACTAATGTATAATAGATGACAATTTAATTTAACGATCTTTGAAATATGATGAACATATTTCTCGTTTTGACCAGTTTTATTTCAAGCGAGTCCCTTAGAGTTTTGCCTCTGCTACAAAATTTATTCTCAGTGATAAATTCTTGCAATTAATTCTGTGATCAATCCATATTCATTCAGTCACTAGAACATTCATGCAAGTAAATCTATATCATTCATATAATCGGGTTGAATCTAATCAGGTTAATCGACAGGTGTAGATTTCATTCTCTGTGTGTGAAAAAATTTACCAGCTCGGACGAACGAGTGATAAATTTTACCAAGCCCCGTAGACCAGCTTCAATGGATACAAGAGTCCAAGCAGTCCCAGAAATGGGAACAGAATTTAGAGCGCCATCTGTTAACTCGTATTGAAGCAACATATAAAAATTAAGCATACCCGTCATTGTCAGATTTTACAGAATAAAAATCTTTCCGATATGCATAACACAACGATAAATTGAATTCAGCAAATATTTTTCAAATGATTATATGGATATTCTGGAAAATGTGGGCATTAAATTGCATCAAGTGAGTGACATTGAAAAACGCGCAAAATTGTCGTTTTAAATTAATAAATTTAAACTTTATCCTATAATTATATAACAGTCTTATTATCATAAAACTTCACCATTCAAACAATATTTGTTACAATCAGGAGGAAAACTCAACCTGAATTAAATACTAGTTGGCAGCCTTACGAGCAACAAGCTTTATAAGGGCACCGGTACGCCACGAAAGCCTGTTCGACGTTGTATTTGGCGGTGTGTTGTGCAAGCGCTACAGAGCAATTATGGCCCAAAAACTTCCCTACAAAATTGGTGAGCTATTTTTAAGGCCCTTTGATCATTGGAAATTAGCGTAATGTGTTTGAAACGATTTCACTTGAAAATTGTTGAAAACTAGGGAAGTAAGTTGGGATCCCTAGTACCGGCCCTACGTAATTGTTTTTTATTTTTGTGTTTTTTTCTTGTCATTCAAGACATTTAATTGCAAATAATATTTATTCGTATCGTTGGTTATTTATTCGTTGGATTTAATTTGATAATTTTCTGTAATACCTTGTACCTTGTTTGCTTGTTGAACCTTCGGTTTCGCAATCCTCAAAGCGTTCTGCATCTACTGTAAGCACGTGGCATCCATGCAAGAGCAAACAGAGTAGGTACTGCTAACTGATAGACTGACAGTGACAGCTGAAAGCAACGTAGCGTTCAAGTGATTGTCGCGCCTTGATTTCTTCGCAAGGTAGACTATGTTGACGTAAAAAATACTTGCGCTTCATGCGATTTTATCTCCAGAAATAATATATAGCAAATTTTGTTATGTCAATCAATGATTTTGCACAGCATTTTCTAAAATTCTATACGGTTTACCGGCTGTCACTCAGTGCTGTGCTAGTTTGCGTACCTACTTCAGGCTAGCCTTCTTGTCAAGCATTTGTTGCTGCCCTGTGACGCGATTGATCTGCATGAATCAATCATTCAATGGCGTTCGGCTGGCTGGGTTAGCCCCGTTCCTTTGTAATGGCAACATAATGACCCAGAGTGATGTCCCGAGCTCAAATTTCTCGAGTAATTTTATTTTATTTTTCGTATTTTTTACAATAGTTTGACGTTTCTTAGCTTGATGATCATGCCTCGAACTCGAAAGATCAGCTCATTGCGCGGCGCTGTTTGAACTTTGAAGAAGTCAACTGATCATCTGAATGATCTGAATAATCATCTGATGCAACGCTACATATGAATTAGGTACCTACTGTCAATGAAATAAATTTTACTGAAAGATGATTGTAATCTTTCATCTTCTAGACAAATATTTTCGCATGATTTAGCCGATTAAGAGAGTAAACAAAAATCACCATTCTGGCGTCCCCACTGCAATCGATCATTTGCTTCATTTCCTGCCGGCATTTCGAAATTATTTCCCCTGTGGCCTGGGTAACAGCTGTTATGAGCTGCGGTCATGAAAACCATCCATGTATAACTAATTATTTGGAGAACCTGAGTTTTGACGCATCTTTTAGTGCATGCACTAACGTGAATAGTCTTTTCAGCGAAGCGTAGCAAGTTTTTATTCATCAATTATGCCTAACAACTTTATTTTATTCATCATCCAGCATCTCAATTATTCATAATTAATTTACCAGTCACCTTCTGCATTACACCTGACAACTTTATTTCTATTAGCCAACATCGGTTTGGCGGACTTCGGTCGCAAGGAGATCGTGATGGCGGAGCGGGAGATGCCAGGGCTGATGGCGCTGCGTGAGAAGTACAGCTCCGCTAAACCCCTGCGCGGCGCCCGCATTGCTGGCTGCCTTCACATGACCATCCAGACCGCCGTACTCATCGAGACTCTCGTCAGTGATGCTTCTTTAACCCTAGAAGTTCACATGTCTCAATCTCAATATCTTCATAATTCAACCCCAATGGGTTTTATCGTTCATGAGACAGTACCTATTATGGCTTCTCTGGCTATGAGTTATTGAATAACTTGTTAATAATAACTCATAACTCAATAACTTCTCCTTGATTGAAATGAATAGTCATGATGTTCACTAGTTTGGTTGAATTTAAATTTCACACGTGGAAAAGATAAGTTATCGGGCCGACCTCTTGATGGCTGAGCTGCTGAACGATTACCTGATGTATTTCATAAATTGAACAAAACAACCTTCCATCTTGTGCCAACTGTCCTTATCGTATTAATGGTTATTATGACTTTTCATTATTTGTCATTGTGCGAGTAACTTGACTAATGATTGTAGCCATCTAACTATTCAGTTCACTCGTCATGTGCGCACTTTCCGATTGCAACTGAAGGCATGGGAAGTAAACTTTTGCACCGGAAATCCTTTGCATGGAGGTAATTTGAATTTACTGAGACCTATGTTTACATCGCGCAGGTCGAACTCGGGGCAGAAGTTCAGTGGTCGTCGTGTAATATTTTCAGCACTCAAGACCACGCTGCTGCTGCCATTGCCAAGACAGGCGTGCCCGTTTATGCCTGGAAAGGCGAGACTGACGAGGAATACATCTGGTGCATCAAACAGACCATCTTCTTCCCTGACGGCAAGGTTACTGTCTTATTTTAAAGTACATTTTGTGAATCAAACAATTTGGCGCTCCTCCATCTTGTGAATTTTCAAGAGACGTGGTGTGTATTGCATCCGTACAAACTTGGAGGAAATTTTACATTTCATTTCTGATGTTTTTAAGAATTACTACGAATTGTTTAGTGCGTGAAGTAATTACACTGTAACTGTATGAAATAAATTTTCGATTGTCCTGTAAATTCTCGAGTGTAGTATCAATTTTCTTCTGTCTAGACTCTTAGACTGTTGCAATTAATTTATTTGTCTCAACTGTAGCATTTATTTTATATCTGTCTCGACTGTAGCAATTATTTTATTTTTGTCTTGACATTTATTTTCTTTTGTTTCGACTTTGGCATTTGTTTTATTTTGTCTCGATTGTAGCATTTATTATTTTTTTGTCGCGACTGTAGCATTTATTTAATTTTTGCCTCAACTGTAGCATTATTTTCTATTGCCATAATCTGGCATTATCTACTTGTTTTTCAGCCGCTGAACCTTATTCTTGACGACGGAGGCGACCTCACTAACTACGTGCACGACCATCATCCCGAACTCCTCGCGGGTATTAAGGGCTTAAGTGAAGAGACCACCACAGGCGTACACAACCTCTACAAAATGAAGAGAGAAGGCAAGCTCAAGATACCCGCCATCAATGTCAACGATTCCGTCACTAAAGTAAAATTTCGTTTGATTCAATGTTACCTTTTATTGCGTTTTCATAGTTATATTGTGTACCTAAATATTGTGCAGAATGCATATTACGTTTTTTCGAAGGAAGCTATTCAATTTCCTATTGAAATTTGACTTGTATCTGAATAATTTTGTCTCGCTAAGCACCATGAACCATGTGATATTGTTTACCTCCCCTACTATAATAACATGTATAATATCTACCTATTTATAAATGAATAAGAATTTATTGCAGCCAAAAAAATTACTATTGGAAAGTGCTGCAACTAACAGTTTTCACCATTTTCCATTAATGAAAAAGCTCGATTCTAATATTCATGGAACAAATTCCGGTATTCACTTCAGCTTACAAATTTATGATTCTTACTTGCATTATTGTTGGGAATTGATGGATATAATTAACGATCCTTATTTAATTTTGCAGAGCAAGTTCGACAATTTGTACGGATGCCGCGAGTCTCTAACTGACGGCATCAAGCGTGCCACGGACATCATGCTTGCCGGCAAAGTGTGCTGCGTCGCGGGATACGGTGACGTAGGCAAGGGGTCTGCTCAGAGCCTTCGTGCATTTGGGTCCCGAGTCATCGTTACTGAGATCGATCCCATCAACGCCCTGCAGGCTGCCATGGAAGGCTATCAGGTATTGATGACGTGAGGTCGTTACTGAGATCAATCATATCAACGCCCTGCAGGCTGCCATGGAAGGCTATCAGGTATTGATGACGCGAGATCGTTACTGAGATCGATCCCATCAACGCCCTGCAGGCTGCCATGGAAGGCTATCAGGTATTGATGTTAGGTCGTTACTGAGATAGATCCCATCAACGCCCTGCAGGCTGCCATGGAAGGCTATCAGGTATTGATGACGTGAGGTCGTTACTGAGATAGATCATATCAACGCCTGCAGGCTGCCATGGAAAAGCTACCGGTATCCTCTATTGATGTTATGAGGCTAACGTTTATTTTAAAAAGAGAGGTAGTTCTGCAGTTCTTCATCACTAGGATCTTTAGATTCTTTGAATGTGACTTCTTTATTTTATACATTTTTTGCATTTTTTCTTCTAAAAATCTTCATTTTACCTCGTTTGGCTCCCTTTAAATTGACATACTAGTTTACCCAGCTGACAATAGTATTTTTTTGAACTGGTAATTTCCGTTCGAACTTGGTATAAAATTTTGTGTAAAAATTTTGCCTGGAAATCTGACTTCAGATAGTTTCTTCTCTGTAGGTTTATCCTGATTGGATCGAATCCCCTCCTATGATGACCAAGACGCTACTAATTCTCTCGTTAGTTTCAGTCTTTTTCTCTCGATTTTTGTTGCATTTTTATCAATTGACCCAGCGTCTTATTCGTGAATATTCCTGTGGAGAACGAAAGCTTCTCATTCTTGTTGAATACTTCTGTGGAGAAAACCTAAGCTTCTCTCGTGCAGGTGACGACAGTGGAGGAGGCCATCAAAGAAGGCGCATCAGTGTTCGTCACGACGACAGGCTGCCGCGACATCCTCACCGGCGAGCACATGCAGCAGATGCCTGACGATGCCATCATCTGCAACATTGGACACTTCGATATCGAAATTGACGTCAAGTGGCTCGAACAGAATTGCAAGGAGAAGGTGAGTGAAGAGGAGGTGCAATGAGGAGTTGAGCGAAGGGGAGGTGCAAGGAGAAGGTGAGCGAAGGGGAGATGCAATGAGAAGGTGAGTGAAGGGGAGATGCAATGAGAAGGTGAGCAGAGGGGAGATGCAAGCAGGTAAGTGAAAAGGAATTGCTCAAACGTGTCTCGAAGCCGTATGTTTTTAATGTGATAGCATAAATTATACATTGGATTTCATGCGTTTTATTTGGAATTGAGGCTATTTAGTTTGTGTATATTTGGGATTATACATGAAATACTATTAAATATTGCTGATATGATACATCTAGCATAATTTTGAGGATTTATTATTTTTAGTCGTTTGCCTTGACAACAGCATTTTGCGATATGTCGTTTAGTTTATCTTGTAAGAAACTTGTTGATTGCACCGACAATTTCCTCTCGTGCAGGTTAACATCAAGCCGCAGGTGGATCGCTACACCCTGCAAAATGGCAAGCATATTATCCTGCTTGCCGAGGGTCGTCTGGTCAACTTGGGCTGTGCTATGGGCCACCCCAGCTTCGTTATGTCGAATTCTTTCACTAATCAAGTGGGTGCTTCCTCTCGTAAATTTTTCAAATGATTCAAGACTGGTCATTCTAATAGCTTTTTCAACATAGCGTGAGATTCTTGTTTTTTATACTATAAAACGATTTCAATTGACATCGCGGCATTTATTTTGCCTCGGGTAATGCAGAACTTAGTTTTGTATTGAACAATAAATCGATAATAATTACTGCACATTGTTGTCTCGATTAGGTCATGGCTCAGCTGGAGCTGTGGACGAAGCCAGGCCAGTACTCGGTCGATGTCCATTTCCTGCCGAAGAGACTGGATGAGGAGGTCGCTCGTCTCCACCTGGCACACCTCGGCGTCAAGCTCACGGTCCTCACCCCGGCCCAGTCTGCGTACCTTGATATCCCCCAGGAAGGGCCTTACAAAGTTGATCACTATAGATATTAAAACGAGTAGCTGCCATTTTTTTTTTACAAGTTTTTACTACTAAAAATCCATTTATTTTAATCTTTGGATTGGCTTGTGTTTTCTATCTCTCGTCAGCCCAAATGACTTTCTCGAACCTCTTCATGGCGTTATTTTTTTTCGTGGTATAAACTAAGTTTCTGTATGAATTTATTTGAAGAAAAAATGAACCATTATTAGTTCACGTAACTATCAAAAAGATTTCCGTAGCTTAGCTAGACCTGTACTGTGCCTCATGATTGATTAAGTACCATTATTTTAGATTCTAATTATCTAATAAATTGAATAAAATTATTCTGAGAAGTCTGTTACAACTAGTCTTTGTTATTTGACATGTTACATCTGGCTGGATAATAAAGTTATCACTTGATAATTTTGATTTATCTCCTTATTTTGTCAACATTGTTCTCGGACGTAATGAGTGCTGGGTGGTACAGCCTCATAACAGTTGCTTTCGTGGTACATTTCTGGGGTAACAGGCATTAGAGATGATCCTTTCATGGGTGTCTGTGTAGCTTTTTGTAATGGATTTTATTCTTTTTGCTTCAGCTCAACCGGAATTATTTTTAAGACTTCACCGGACATTTAAAGCCGCAGTTGTATCGAGCTTGGTTCTTGTTGACGCTACCTCGAAATTCAGCTGATACTGCAGGTGGCATTGCAAAAACTTTACATTATGTTATAAATGCATTGTTGGAAAATTGTCGAGTTACTGCTGTTCAACGACGAGAAAAATATCGTTGCTGCTTCCGAATAGTTGAGGCTAAAGCCGCCACAAGTGTGATAGCTAAAATGATTATTATTATTATTGAATATACAGCTGTGATTATAGATGCTACTGAATTGAAAATTTTAATTCACGATTAAACGAATTACAAATCCTTAGCATCACTTCTAAAAGTGAAACATTTTTATCCACACAATGGCAAACGTGCCCCTGGTAGTATTCATGGCCTGCACCGCTGCACGTATGTGGCAATTGAATCGGGCTAATTCATACAATAGCAGTTTGGCAAAGTGGTCCAATGGTTAAAGTTTCTGAGTACTAAGATTGGAGCAGAGAAGTGCAGGTTCTAACCAAGCTCTGGGCGCCAGTTTCTTATGAGTCGGCAAGGAGGCTGTTGAATTAAGCAAAGCTAAATTGGAGCAGTGAGTAGAGTTTGAAATCGTAAAGGCAATGAATGTTTCTGCCGTGTTAAGAATCGAAGTTAATTCATGATACAACAACAGAATATTGTGACGTAATTTGATAATTCTTCAATAATCTTATATAGTGATTTAATTCGCTCAAGAAATTTGTATTGGAGCAGATCGTCCATTTCTTCAGCTAAAAAATTCCTTACGTTATTTTTAAATGATGACATCTGAAATCCGGATTAGAGGATTGAGGTGTAACGTCAGTGCATGCGTGTCAGCTGATAAAAACGTAAACAAACTCGTTATGTGGCTATTCCATGGGGCAAATTAATGCAGTAGCATTTGAAACCTGAAAAACCTTGCTGGTAATAAATAGTTTTAATGTGCAGGATTTTCGGCTATTCTATAATAGAAAATATTACGTTGAAAAACTGCCAATAAATTACTGAGCTATATGATAATGTACATAAAATTAGTCACTTGACTTCCAGGAAAAACTGTCCAGTATTTGTTTTTACTTCACTTCTCTGCTTATAGTTATGTAGTTACCTGTGCTTGAAAATTCTTGCTTTCTGACCATGTCTTTGGACACTTTTAGCCACTACAGAGTTTAAAAATTGCGTTGACTAGTCAGTATGTCAGCTTATGAAGTCCAAAGTGTTGCCAAATGCCAATTGTCATTGTTTATATGTTATTGAGGAATTGCTGCAAGTACCTACTAGCCAACATGCCAGCAGTGTGTAATTGTGGTCATGGATAGGTAATATATTCTCAGGTTTATATAACAATATGGATCACCAGGATCAGAGCAACTACTTTGGATGGTTACAATTCCCACTGCTATGTCAAGTATTACACTGAGTTTATGAGACAGTGCTGCTCTTCTTCTGGCTTTGCAGGGTTTACTGACTTCATGTCAATCTCCAGACTCCATGACATCTTTCTTCATACTCTTCACTAGCTCCTTATGAATAATTTTACAATAGATATCTTCTAAAAGACAAAAAAAAAATACATTAACTATTGCAGGAAAGTTTCAAAATTTTAATAATACCAACAAAGTTTTGAATATCACTCAAAATAATGAAATAATATCAGATTCTTTATGGCATGTGACATGAGCAGGATAATGAGATAACTGAAGTAAGTGATGTCCCAGTCCCACTATAACATACCCTGTCAAATTCAATTTCACAATGAGTAGATTTAATTTTTCATGCCGCAAGCCTGCAACTACTGTCAAACAGGGTAATAGGATACGGGCAGCCTGGCAGGGTAATAAGGGACACTGGGACAGTCATCCAACATTTTGTATAAATGTTGTAGCAGCTAAGCTAATTGAATTATTACTAAACTAAAAACAGTGGCATAAAGTTCTACATTTTTCCTATCTATCATGTAGCATAAAGAAAGTTAGGAAATCGTACATTTACTATACCTCTGAAAAACCCTTAAAAAAAAACGAAAAGTTATATTTTTGGATAAATATCTCTGCTAAGGTCTATAGCAAAAAAAAAAATTTGCTGTATTAAAAAATTGTACCTATATAAAAGTTGCACACAGGTGCTGGCTTTAAAATGCAATTGATAAAATTTGCATAGCTCATTCCCAAAAAAATGGTGGCCACTTCTGCACAATGGGGCAATAAGGGACACCCCTCCCCCCCAGGGGTAATATGGGACACCTTTAAACACACATTTACAGTAGAAAACCTTGCTTAGCAAAGGCTCCAGTTGATGAAAAAATCAATCAACAACAAAGAACTTTGATGACATTTACCGTGCTTAGCAAAAAAAAATTTATTATCACATTTTACAACATTTTTACTAGGTATCTATTATGTTTTAAGCTAGTTAAGAAATCATACATTTATTATCTCTGAAAAATAGCTGAAAAAAAGTATGAAAGTATGATTTTGGAAAAGTACCTGCACTAATAACTGGAGAAAAAAAATTCTCCATAACAAAAAATTTTACTTACATAAAAGTTGCACACAGGTTTTAGCTTGAAAACGTGATTAATGGAATTTGCCTATCTCATTCCAAAAAAAAGGCAGCCATTTCCGCGCGAAGGGGTAATAAGGGACACCCCCCCCCTGGTGTAATAAAGGACACCCCTAAAAACACACTTACAGTTTAACCTCAGTTAGTAAAGGCTCCAGTTAACAAAAGATTTATTAACAACAAAGAATTTTGATTTCATTTACCTTGCTCAGTGAAAAAAATTGTACTTAATAAAAAATTAATGCATCATCGGTCATCACAAAATTGTGCACAGAATGCCATATGTAAAATTGTGCACTGGGCATCATAGAATGAAAAGTAATTAACCCAAACTATGATTTATTTCTCCAAAACATATGATGGTTGTTACTAAAACATTCCTTTATCTTTCAGGTACGTTTTTACGATATTTTTTTATATAGTGAATTAACTTAACCCAACTAAAATGGTGTGAAAGTACAAGCCGTCCTGTAAGCTTACAGATACAGAAGAAATGCTATACGGCTGCTGATATGAAGCTTGCAGTGGACAAGGTCATTGTAAATTCTATAGGCATGTTTATGGATACAGTAATATCACATCAATAATACTGTAATTAATGAATAAGGGATATCATATCAGTAAAGGATAAACCAGTAAAAAACACAGAAAATGTCATTTATTCTTCATCTACAATGAAAGAGGAAGACTTCAGAGTACTGTTAGTAATGGAGGAGTACACTCTGCATGCTTCAAACATTTCAAAATTGAGTTTTATTTCAAGTGTCCTGGATAACCCCCTTCCCAGGGGTAATTTGGGACAGTTTTATTTTGCGTCTGGCACCTTACATATAGCATATGGATTTTTTTAAAGATGTCATTCAATAGCCCTTGCAAAGAGCTATAAAATGAGCCTAAACTTGTTTATGAAATGTTTCATCACAAGAAGTTATTCAACAAAAAACGCTCAAAACCATCCCTTATTACCCCGTTTGATGGTAATTAATAATACATTATTATTAGATATTAAAATTATTTGGCACCCACTAATTTTTCATTATGAAAGAAATGCTACATGCAATTGGAGCCTTCACTCTGCATTAGGTGGGTTAATAATTTGAGAGGAAAAAACCAAAAGAATTGAGATTCTGAAGGTACCGTCAACTGGGGTGACTTCAGCCACCACTACAACAGAAACAAATGGCAGCAAAAAAAAAAAATAATAAATAAACATTGGCCAAAGTCACCTCAGTCACTTTGGCAAACGTTTATTATTTTGTTTTGCTGCCATTTGTTACAACACTTCTCTTTAACTTCACTTCTTGTCTGTCTGTCTGTCTGTCTGTCTGCTACAAATCTTGTAATCGAAATTTAAAACACTTCTACTTATCCTATCGATCTGAAATTTTGCACACTTGTTTAAAGTTGGAGACAATGCATGAATCAAATGTCAAAATAAATGATTTTTGAAATTTAAAATTGAAAATTTTTTTTTTTTTAAGTTTTGAAAATTAGATGAGAAATTCATTGTATATCTGTAAGATTGGAGATACTGGATTCTTTGGAAGTGTTGTCTTTAAAAAGTAGTTTTTAAACGTATATTATTTCTGTTGTAGTGGTGGCCAAAGTCGCCCCCAATGGCCAAAGTCACCCCAATTGACAGTACAGAATTTTATTCCTATTCTGAGCATGTTCATTTCAAATATAGTTCTAATTATTTTGGCTGATTATTTCTGATACGCTTGATTTGTGCAGAACATTCTAGAATCTACTGTGGTGTCTCTAATAAGCAACTGTTAACCATGAGTTGGTTTGAGACCACAGCATTCACTTCCCTTGCTCGTTCAGCTCTGAAAGAAGCCCAGCGAACTATAGACAAAGCCCTTGACATCAGAGAAACTGAACCATCTGAGACTGGAGAAGCTATTCAAGGTAAAATTCCTTAACACGCTGACTCCGATTGCTTCATCTTGTTCTATTATTTCATTCTTTGGACTATTATGGAACAGGGTTGCCAGACAAGCTTTTTTTCTGACAAATTTGGCAAGGTTTTTACTTTTTTCAAATGCATTGGCTGGCTTAAATTTATGATAGGGGTATTTCCTAATTAAATTTAAAATTAAAAAATTGTTTTTTTTACACTGGAACCTATAAATATTCTAGTATATTATGAGTTATGGGCCTTTTTTGTTTGCAAACTTGGCCATTTTTTAGGCCACCTGGCAACCCTGAATTATATACCACTAGGTCATGAAGAAATACATTTTGTGGTATGCATATCTACCACTTCAGAGTCAAAATGTTAAGATTAAATATGAACAATGAAGTGTTCAATTTGATTTCAATGTATGTAATTTTGTGCAGGAAATAAATTTTATAAATAGCAGTTTATTTATTATTGATATTTTACTCATAGATTTAATATTATTTCAAAGCAAATGAAAATTATGAAATATATCACTATTAAGCCATTTTATATCAAGATAAGACAATTTGAAGAATAATTAAATTTTCTCCTGCTTTTTTTAGAATTAGATATTAATGTTTTTCCCAGCCATGAATTTACATTGTTGTTAATTAGTAAATAATCTATTTTATTTCAATGCATGTTGAAAATATTTAATGTAAAATACCCAGTTGTATAAAGCTATTGGTATATGATTTTATGGTCAATCAAGCAGAATTTTATGGAACTGTTCTACTATTTCAGACCCAACTTTGGCAAAATTGAAGGAAGGATCAGACAGCTTTTTTGCAGAGTTTGGTTTTGGCTCCAGGACATCCACTGATCCAAAGGGTCAGTATTACCAGTTATATTATGATTTTTAATAATAATCATTCAATTAATTATGAATTAGCTATTCCTGTTTCTAATTTTTTCTTGCTAATTTTGAATTTCTGTTATAACATGAAAAAAGCTATTTTATAATCGTTTGAAGAGAAAGCTAATACTTTTTTGTAATAAAATTGCTGGGGTTTAACTGATGTCTTAAATTCTGTGATGACCTCCCACAGATTCCCAATCATCAGAAGGTGACTTGGACTCGAGCAACCCAAAAGCTGGCAATGCTAACTTAACATCCAGCCTCTGGGGTTCATTCACTGCATCTTTTTCCGAGAATACCAGTGAGCCAAGCTTTAATTTTCAATGATCAAATAATGCAGTTAAAAATTCCAAAAGAAAATGTTGATGCAAAAAGTTTATCTCCTAAAAATAACCAAATATCATTCATTGCATCTTTTTCTGCAAGTGCCAGTGAGCCAAGTTTAAATTTTCAGTGACCAAATTACTGCAGCTAAGAAATTAGAATGAAAGTCTTTAGCCTTTAGGCATTCACAAAAGTTGTGAAAGTATAATTTTGTGTAATAAAACAACAAACATAATGGGCATAAAAGGTAAACTTTGTGAATTTTTAATGTCCCAAACATTAAAATTATTAATTTGAGTGACCGTCTTCTATTTTCTTCTAGGTCTGAGCACAAGCATTCCAGCAAGTAAAGAGAAGAACATTGTGGCAGTTCAGCCAATTCCTAGTTCAAAAAAGACCAACTTAACTCCATATGTGGATCAAACTCCCAACATAGCCAATAAACCTGAAAACAGTAACAATATTCCCACATTTGACTCTATTGTCTTACAGACATCTTCCACTCATCCTGCCTCAGCTAGTAATAAAGAAACATTTGGTTCTTTATTTTCTACAAATTCCCCAATTCCTCATAATGTCACTCCTGCTTCATCCATCACAAGTAACACTATTCCTGACAATGATGTTGCACCATCGCGCGTCTCCCTATGGGAAGAACCTGCGCCAAACCCCAACAAATTCCCCGACACGACGTTGTCTGTGGCGTCTGCTGGCACCCTGCAGGAGGTTGGGGCTGAAGAGGTCGACTGGGGCTGGGGAAGCGGCTTTAATGAGTCCATAATTGACGATATCATCAAAGAAAACTTGGATGATGATAGAAGTAAGTTAAGGAAAATTAATTTCTAAAATAATTTATAATTTTGTCTTTTGATGTTCCCAGAGCTCTTGTCCTTTTCATTGAGGTTTATACATTTGGTGTGCTAGTATCTATTAAAAATTTCTTCTTAATTCTTTACTATGGAAATGTTTTGAATTTATAGCTTTGAAATATTAATCAAATATTGAATTTTAAATAACTTGATTGATGTTATTTATCCAGGAACAGATATTGCTGGTTCTCGAGAAGAAACCCAAAAGTCTACTGTTGTCCAAGAAGAAATCTCACTCCATCATGTAACGCAAGCTTTGGGAGACTCTCTTGAGAAGGAAACGATGGCGACCGATTCTGACACCTTAGTCGGGACCAACGAAACGACACGAGAATCTATTCAATGCGGCCACGCAGGATCTATTGGCGGATCTGTAATGATCGATCAGAAAATATCTCCGGAATCAGAGCAGAGCGACGCGGCTGAGGTCTCAAGTCCAGACGAGAGCATCTCTGCCAGCAGCACCAAACCCTTGAGTTTTGAAAGCCGTAGCAGTGATACGGAGACTATCACCACTCGTAGCATTAGTGGTGAAGAAAGCATTAGTAATAAACTATATTCTGCCAGCACCTCTTCCGACTCTTTTGCCGTGATCACAACTGTTGCTTCCTCGTCTTCTTTTGATGTGAGTTTTTGAACTTGCATTAAATTAAGCTAATCTTGCGTTTGCTTTAAATTAAAAATTAAGAATTGTTTAATGTTTCGAAATTGGTTGTATCTTTGATTACGTAATTTAGGTGAATACATGCACTTGTTTTACAAGTTTTACATTGTGACTACTGCAAATTTTAGGGAGTAACACTCGTAAAGAAACTCAACCTCATTTTTAAATTTCAATTATTCACGTGTAAATATTGTGTGTATCACAGATATTTTTCTAAGTACAAAAGTTTAATCATTATATTTATATCTTCAATATCTAGACATTCTTAATAATTTATTAACTACTTCTCTGGACCTGACAAATCTTCTTTTTTTTCAGGCCAGCGAAGAATTTCAGAGTCCTCAATCCCCTTCTTCTGTAAGTATTGAAGATAATTGTGGCTCGGCTCCCAAGTTTCCAGTTCAGGATTCCAAAAATCCCTCTACATTTATGAACACTTCTACTCAGCGCAGCGACGTTCCATTGACTGTCCAACCTTCGAAATCCCCGCTGAAAATATTAAACACTTCTTCAGTTATTGAATCTCAAGTGACAAGAAGCGAAACTGCTGGACATCGCTGGGGCAGCTCAAGCAACACATCAGATTCAGATGAGAGTGACGGTAGTTCAGTTCCTGAGACGACCGTCGAGGTGGTCACTGCAACCATCACAACTCAGCCCATGGCTGCCGAGACCTCCTCCTCCTTTAACTGGGACAACCAGAAATGGGATTCATGTTCCGAGGATTTGTCGGCTAGTGAGAGCGTCTACAGCTCCTCGAGCGTCGTGACGCTCGTTGAGAGCAGCGGGATATTGACAGCGGACAACACAATGCCGGAACCACAGAAACTTTCTAGTCACTCGAATATTTATTCAGAGAGTACAGCAACGGGATGTGACCAGAGTCTGTTAGACTCAGGATTTTCAGCTGTCTCTATGACGGAAAACGAACTTTTATCTGAGTCTACGTCGTGGATTCCAACTGCGTCCTGTTCTATACTTAATGATGAAGTCATACCTGTAACGTGTTCAAGTATTCTTGACCAAAACATTTCATCAAAAATCAATCGTCAAGCTGATCAAAACGAGACTATAAACGATATTACCTCGACAGTCTTGGATGAGAAGGAGCAGAAGAATGATGATGGTTTATCAAGCTTACCTATTGTCACCAATGACGCGTTGATGTCCGATTTGCCTTGCAGTATCGCATTGGATGTTTCTGTTGAGAGCGGCGGCAGCTCGGAAACTATCACGGCATCCATGGACTCAACTGCTTTGGTTGGCATGTCTGGTGACGATGGAGACTGGAGCTCGCTGGGTGATGAGACTCCGGTGCCACATTTGCTTAAAGAAGCTATGGGAGAGACTGGCAAATTGTGCGACAAGTTCACTAACCACGAAAACCCTGGCCTGTCAAGCGGAAAATTCGGGGATTTTGACGATCAGGAACGGAACGGCGAGAATTTTTCGCATGTAGATTATTTTGAAACGCCGTGTGAGGATACTTCCAAGAATCACAATCAAGATCCGGCTATAAGCAGTCCTATAAACTTCAATGCAAGTTGTACCGATGATCTGGAAATGAGAAATAAAATAGAAAACGAAAAAATCAGCAGCGGAGGGAAATGTCATCCTGAGCGTCGGGAATCTTCTGAATGCCATGAAAGTGCCATTCAGTTGCCGGACGCTGAAAGAGATTCTAGTCCATCTTCTTCTGATAGGTAAAGTTGGCCCACACCTTGGTAGTTTAATGCAACTGGACTCTTAAAATCATCTAAAACGCGAAGACCTTCTTTCTGCGAACTCTAATATTCTGTTACAATGTACATTGCATATTGATACTAATTATTGATATTTTCTTGGAAATTTTTCAAATTTCTTCATTGAAACGTCTTACCATCTTTTTTATCTAATTAGTTCTATCCTATTGTCAGGAACCTAATAACGTTTTTATATTAACATCAATATTTATTGCTTTTATGTTATTTATTCAATTCATCGAGATGCTACTGGTTGTAGGCTAGCGTTATGATGAATGACTAACTTCGTCTAAGAAAGTTTCAAATAATGATGCAGGCTTTGGCCACAAACGTAACTCTTAAACTAGCCCTCAGCATGAACATGCACTTAGTCTTAGCCTCAGATCTATTAAGTTGCAGACCTCGCTAAAAACGCCGCAAGCCACACCAGTTTTGCAACGGCTTAAAGCCTTGGCTCCCGCAAGTTCACAGCCACTTCTCAAGTTAAGATAGTTTTCATGGATTTAGTTTTCATGGATGTGCAACTCCAGTATGACCTTTACCTCTACACTTACAAAGCCCCTCGGCCTTGCTGCAGCCAATGAGACAAGGTTAGGTTTGGTTTAATTTGTTTGGATGAAGAGTCGGGGTAAGTGCAAGGGTAACCATTGTACAACTCTATCCATGCTAGAGTTGTACAATATACATCCATGAAGAACAGTTGAAAAATGTACATCCATGAAAAACAGTACATCCATACTGATTGAACAGTGGCTTTGACTTTCGACTCTATGGCTTCAAGCAGTTAGCTTCATAGGCAACCAATCCCTCTACCAAGATCCGTCATGGCTAGTAATATGGATTAAATCGTGAAGTTGTAAATTGCTTGCCTCTTTCAATCATCTCTTAATAATTACAGCTTGACGTCGGAGATGGTTAAGGTGGGAGGCTCTGATGAAACTTCGGGGCACACCTCGGGAGACGACTTTGAGACGACCACTTCTTCTGACATCGAGGTTATATCCAGGTGAGTTCTTTGTATAGAAACTCCGACCAATTATAAAAAAAATATAACTCAGTACTCACTGCAGTGAGTGACAGAGAGCGCATTTTCTCGTCGACGAGAACGTGAAGTCAGGGACGGACAGACAGACGGACAGACGGACGGACATGGCTAGCTCAATAGTGCATTTCTTCCATAAATGAGAAAATGCGCTAAAAATTATTAAATTATTAAAATTAGTTCTCTTTCAGTCTTTGCCATTACATGAGGTTCGCATAGTATTTTGATAACATATCGAATCCTCGCCCATACTCTGTGTTTTAGAATTATTCTTATCGTAATTAACTTTTTCATTTTTCATTGGATATTAAAACCATGTGTATCCAAGTATTCACTTAACCGTAGTAAGAACGGTAATGAAAAGTATAGTACAAAACTCTGACATTATACAGCCCGAGTTTGGACGGCGTGAGCGTGTACAATGGAATGTACAACAACCTGGGGGCTTCTGGCAGCGCAGCAAACGGACCATTTCTCGGCCCCGCCCACAGCACGGCATCGCGCGTCTGGCAGTCGGCGCAACAACGATTTAAATCTCTGCTTGTGGAACCAACGAACACGAACAATAGTAGTAAGGGTTTGTATTGCTGGATAAACCTATACATGTATATTTCTCATGAATGATCTCAGTAGAATCCGCCCACAGCACGGCATCGCGCGTCTGGCAGTCGGCGCAACAACGATTTAAATCTCTACTTGTTTAACCAACAAACACGAACAATAGTAGTAAGGGTTCAATTGGCTGCAGCAATGGAGACCTTTGTTTGTATTGCTGAATAAACCTATACATGGATATTATCATGAATATTTTGATCTCGGTAGTAGAATTATAATCGTTATTACTTTTCGACCACTCCAATTAGCGGCTAATTGGAGTAAGGAGCAAGGGCTAACATAGATGAGATTCGGGATATTAGTATGCATTATTTATTTTTTTTCATGATAAAATCTCGTTGAAGCATGAATCGCAATTAAGTTTAACATTTCAACAAAGATAAGATTAATGTTCATTAATGTGGTCAGGTGACTCGATGGTATCACCCTCCATGACCGCGAGCTTCACGAGCATCAGTGAGAGCGAGGGGGCGGGGGAGGCGTGGGGGGTGCTCGGGGGGGCGACGTCTCCCCCCCGCGTCAGGGTGAAGAAAGGGGACGCGGGTTCCCAACATTACTTCGAGAGAGGTGAGATATAAGTGATATTTATATATTATTTACGTGTTTATATATACAGAGAGCAATGATAATAATAATAATGTTTAAAATAATATAATTGTGGGGTGAGATTTGATTAGGAGTATTTCATTCCTCTCACTGTAACAGCATCACTATTTATATCGAGAGGAGTATCTCATTCCTCTCACTGTAACAGCATCACTATTTATATCGAGAGGAGTATCTCATTCCTCTCACTGTAACATCACTACTTATATCAAGAGGAGTATTTAATTCCTCTCACTGTAACATCACTATTTATATCTAGAGGAGTATTTCATTCCACAGCATCACTATATCGAGAGGAGTATCTCATTCCTCTCACTGTAACATCACTATTTATATCGATAGAAGTATTTCATTCCTCTCACTGTAACATCACTATTTATATCTAGAGGAGTATTTCATTCCTTATGTTTTCATTCCTCGTGCGTTCATTCCTCTCACTGTAACGGTATTACTATTTACATCATCGAGTAGTATCTCATACCTCTCACTGTAACAGCATCACTATCTATATCAAGAGGAGTATTTCATTCCTCTCACTGTACGTCAGGTCACACGAGGAATGAGAGCACACTGAGCGAGACCAGCGAGAGCTCCTCAGAGCAGCTCGCTCCTGACTGGGAGAAGCTCAGCAAGGTCAGCCTTCAATTTTTCTTAAATATACACTCTTGTTATAATACTATACTTATTTACTTGTTATACACTCTTGTTGTAATTATAGTATCATGCAATATTATGAAACATGTTTAAACAGCCTCATATTGCTGTTAAATATACAATCTTGTTGTAATACTATACTTATTTACTTGTTATACACTCTTGTTGTAATACTATACTTATTTACTTGTTATACACTCTTGTTGTAATACTATATTTATTTACTTGTTGTAGACTCTTGTTTTAATGATAGTATCATGATAGTATACATTATTATTAAACATGTTTAAGCAGCCTTATATTTCTTATATTGCTGTTAATATATACACTCTTGTTGTGATTATAGTATCATTAATTAGTGCATAAGTACACAAGCTCAAGCATTTCAATAAGACACGGCACTCGGATTTATTTATGAAATTATATTGAATTCTATAGCATATAAATAATATATAATAAACTGGAAGTGGAATATGAATGCTGCTGCGTTTTAAGAATGAATGCAAGTAATAAGGATTAAAAATTTTTGATTTAAAGCTATGAATTTTATTCGATGCAAGATTTTTTATCATGAATTAGTTCATAATTAAACAAGCTCAAGCATTTCAATAGGTCACGGCACACGGAACAATTCAGGAAATTATATTGAATTTTATAATATAAATAAAATATAAATATACTGGAAGGAGCATATGAATGCTGTTGCGTTTTGAGAATGAATGCAATTAATAAGGATTGAAAATTTTTGAATTAAAGCTTCTAATTTTGTTTTGTTTTGTGTGTTTTTTTTTTAATTTCAGCGCGTTCGCGAGCTGACCGAAGTATATGAATGCTGCTGCGTTTTGAGAATGAATGCAAGTAATAAGGATTGAAAATTTTTTAATTAAAGCTTATAATTTTTATGTATTTTTTTGTAAATTTAAGCGCGTGGGCGAGCTGAGCGAAGTGCTGGAGGTGAGAGAGCAGCGACTGCTGGAGCTGAGTCAGCAAAACGTCTCAATTCAAGAGCAGAACCAGGCACTGCAACTGTGAGTGTTAATATGATAATATAATAATATAGCTGCTGATATAGTGGTTATCTAATTATTATACAATAAAATTGTGGTGTCAACGTGACTGTTATTAAATGATAATATATTAATATATCTGTTTATATATTTTTTAAGTAATAATGCAATAATGTTGTGGTGCCAGCGTGAGTGTTATTAAATGATAATATAAAAATATCCCTGTTGATATATTAATTAACCAATAAAACAATAAAATTTTGGTGTCAACGTGAGTGTTATTAAATGATAATATAATAATATATCTGTTTATATATTTGTTATCTATTAATGCAATAATATTGTGGTGTCAGCGTTGAAGTTTAAGTGATGTTTGGCCTGTTACAAATTTTAAACATTGTAGAATTTCACAGTTGGCTGTGAGTTTCGAACCTGCAACTCACAAATTTCGCTGTTGTGAACTGTCCGGCCACATTGCCGTTGAAGAGACTCAATGATATGTAGACGATCGTGGTCATGATCACATGTAGGGATATACAGCGCACGATCCTATATTCCGTGTGATGTTAAAGACCATGAAAATTGAATTATTCCGTGTGAAGACCATGAAATCGAGATTATGTGTCAATGCATTGGTGGCGGTCAATGCATCTTAAGATAAAAGTTTTGCCCTTTTTATACTGACGCTAACTATGGATGTACGTCACTCCTTGGGAACGAATAGCACTGGCTGTGGTTATTGCATCATTGGATAAAAGGTTTGCCCTTTGTAAATTGACGCTAACTATGGATGTCACTCGTTGGGAATCGAATAGCATTGGGGGCGGTTATTGCATCTTTAGATAAAAGGTTTGGCCTTTATATACTGACGTTATCTATGGATGACACTCCTTAGGTACGAATAGCATCGGTGGCAGTCAATGCATTCATAGATAAAAGGTTTGCCATTTTTACACTGAAGCTAACTATGGATGTCACTCCTTAGGTACGAGTAGCATTGGCAGTTATTGCATCCTTAGATAAAAGGATTGCCATTTGTATCCCAATTCTAACTATGGATGTCACTTATTTGATACCAATAGCATTGGGGGCGGTCAATGCATCTTTAGATATAAGGTTTGCCACCTTGTACAGTGAGGCTAACTATGAATATCTCTCATTAGGTACGAATAGCATTGGGGCGGTCAATGCATTCATTAAATAAAAGGTTTGCCCCGTTGTACAGGTCAATGCATCTTTAGATATAAGGTTTACCCTGTTGTACATTAAGGCTACCAATGAATATCTCTTATGGTACGAATATCATCGGTGGCGGTCAATGCATTCATTAAATAAAAGATTTGCCACGTTGTACAGTGAGGCTAACAGTGAATATCTCTTCTTGTAAGAATATCATCACTAGCATTTGTCTGTTGACTGTAAGTTGCATGGCAGGAGAGTGCAGGAGCTGGAGGCGGCTGGAGGAGGTGGCATGGAGGGCATGGAGGCGCTACGGGAGGAGTTCACCCAGCGACTTGCCACCATGGAGAAAAAATTCCAGCAAGCTTTACGAGAGAAGGAAACTCTTACTAGACAGCTCGAGGTCTGTGATAATCATTTGCATGGTCAAGCATTTGTATGATCAATTATTTGTGATTAATCATTTGTGATCAATCATTTGTGATTAATCATTTGTGTGATTAATAATTTGTGATCAATCATTTGTGATTTGATTAATCATTTGCAAGATCAATCATTTGTGATTAATCATTTGTATGATTAATCATTTGTATGATCAATCATTTGTATGACCAATCATTTGTGATTAATCATTTGTATGATACTCGTACAAATCATTAGGTCGTATTGTCCAACACACTTTCTTACCCCAAGTACGAACAGAAAGCGACGTAGCACTGATACTCCATTTTCCTGGGTCAAACTAAGTCAAGATGACCTAAACAAAGATAAAAAGTTCATCGCTATTAGGACATTGATCCTCTTATTCCTCTGAGTGAATATTTAAATCGTGGAGGGATCATTAGTTTTTACTTTGTATTACATTACTAATTCATTATTAATTGGACGTTGCCCTATATTTAATTAGACATTGTCCTATATTCAGAAGATGATGTGTTGTTTTTAGGCTGCGTGTCTTAATGTTGAAAGAAATCTCATATCCTCTTTTCATAAAGGTTTGCTGGAACATTCAAGTCCGAAATGTTATTTTGCGATAATGCTTATACAGAGTGTATTAAATGAAATTGAATACAATTAGATTTCACTAATCATGTGTATCATACAGGGTTAATAAACGAATTGATCATAGCGAAAGATATTCGAATCTTAACACAAGAATATTTATTCTTTTTCAACTAAGATTTTATAGAAACTGCTAACTTTAAAAATACAGGCACTTGGTTCCATCGCATTGCACTTTAATCCATACATTGCTTTTTTTTTATCTAATCCAATATATCGTTTGCACTATTTTCATCGCAATTGCAAAACTTTAATTAAAATCACCTGTCGCACTACATTGTATTTAAATCTATTGCAATATTTTCATAGCAATTGCTAACTTTAATTAAAATCACCTGTCGCATTACATTGTTTTTGAATCTATTGCAATATTTTCATTGCAATTGCAAACTTCAATTTAAAGCACCTGTCGCATCACGTTGCACTTAAATTTATACTTTATTTTACTTAATATTTAGGTATTTATTTCTACTTTATTTCTTTATATTTATTTATTTCTACTCTTATTCTTTATACTATATTAATTCGTTGAACCACAGACATTAAAAATGGAATCTGCGACGCGGTTCAGCAGCAGCGAAGTGCAGGTTCAGCTACAGGAGCGCGACACGATTACTTGAATTCCTACTTTATTTTACTTTATTTATACTTTATTTCTTTTTTTACCCACAGACATTAAAAATGGACTCTGCGACGCGGCTGAGCAGCAGCGAAGTGCAGGCGCAGCTACAGGAGCGCGACACGGTTATTGCTGAGCTGCGCGCTGAGGGAGAGAAGCTCAGCAAACAACAGCTCAGTTACTCCACTACCATCAAGAAGCTGAGAACTAAAGAAAAAGAACTCGATAATATATTAATATAATATATATAATAATATGTAATTATAAAAATATTATTATTACATATTATTTTATAATATTAAGTTAGATATTAGTATAATATATAAAATAATATATATTAGTTACATTATTATTATTACATATTATTATAATATACTAAGTTAGATAATATATTATTATGGAACTGGAAGTCTCTCAATTGGCAAAACTCGTTTTATATTAGATACAATATAATATGTGACTGAAAATGGTTCGGTGTTATGGGTATTAATATTTACTTACAGTTATTAGCTTTCAGTAATTGATTTCATCTCTCTAATTAATACTTGTAAAACCTGGATGAAATGTTTCAACCATTTTCTTGACTGTCCTTATTAAATGTTTTTGATTGGACTTTAATTAATATTTATGATACACAAATGAAACTATTTAAACTATTTTATAAAGTGTTTTGAATAAATATTGTTGAATGTGCTGCTCAAAGGTATATTTTATAAAGTATCTTCAACAAATGATGTTGAATGTGCAGCTCAAATGTACATTTTATAAAGTGTGTTGAATAAATAACGTTGAATGTGGAGTTCAAAGGTAGACTTTGTAGAGTGTATTCAAGAAATAATGTTGGATGTGATGTTGAATGTACAGTTCAAATGTAGACTTTATAAAGGGTGTTCAAGAAATAATGTTGAATGTGCAGCTCAAAGGTAGACTTTGTAAAGTGTATTCAACAAATATTGTTGAATGTACAGTTCAAATGTACAGTTCAAATGTACATTTTATAAACTATATTCAACAAATAATGTTGAATGTGCAGCTCAAAGGCCGAGAATCAGCAGCTTGAGATCGAGCGTCAGCACCGTCAGCTGCTGGCCAAGTGTGAGGTGGAGCGACGTCAGGTGAGCGCCATCACGCAGCTGACAGTGCAGCTGCAGCAGATGCAGGAGCAGATGAAGGCTGTTACAGCTGATGCAGCTGAAACTCAGGGCAAGATGGACGTGCTAAGAGATGCACTTGATGCTGCTTACAGGTCTGTTTATTTCTCATTCAATTTTAATGGTATATGTTTATATATTTTATATATTTATATTTAATGGTATATGTTTATATATTTTAGATATTTATATTTAATGGTATATGTTTATATATTTTAGATATTTATATGTAATGGTATATGTTTATATATTTTAAATATTTATATTTAATGGTATATGTTTATATATTTTATATATTTATATGTAATGGTATATGTTTGTATATTTTATATATTTATATGTAAAGGTATATTTTTCAATGGTATATGTTTATATATTTTATATATTTATATGTAATGGTATGTATTTTGATGGTATATGTTTGTATATTTTATATATTTATATGTAATGGTATGTATTTTAATGGTATATGTTTATATATTTTATATATTTATATGTAATGGTATATATTTTAATGGTACCTGTTTATATATTTTATATATTTATATGTAATGGTATATATTTTAATGGTATATGTTTATATATTTTATATATTTATATGTAATGGTATATATTTCTATGTTTATATATTTTATATATTTATATGTAATGGTATATATTTTAATGGTATATGTTTAGATATTTTATATATTTATATGTAATGGTATATATTTCAATGGTATAATTACATTGAATCGGAGAGATTTTGACTACATGGATAATCAATTTTCATCATTAATATAAATCACAATGTTAATGTTGTACAGAGAGAAGTTATACAAGCCTCTATGTAAGAACATTATTCTACCTCAGTACTTTAACAGTTTGCTACAACGATTAAGAAAAATGAAAGCCTATTACCAAAATTCTAGTAGAAGAGGTTGTAAATTTTATTGTAAGTTGCCATTTTTAGCGCATTTTCTCATTTATGGAAAAATGCCCTATTGTGCTCATCATGTCTGTCCGTCTGTCTGTCCGTCTGTCCGTCTGTCCGTCCGTGACTTCACGTTTTCGTCGACGAGAAAATGCGCTCTCTGTCACTCACTGCAGTGAGTACTGAGTTATATTTTTCACCTGGTTAGCAATATCGGTCCACTTTATGTAGGCAAGACATGGCCATTCTCGCCCTGAATGCGGCCTGTGCTTTCGAGTTGGGTCGTTAGTGCCATGAGCTTCAAGAGAAAATTGGAATTAGCAGTTTTAACTAATAAAATTTTTATAATTTTAGTCTGACGGTCAATTATTCTACCTAATTCACAAACAAGCATTCAATACGTATTGTAGGTTTATAAATTTTATCCGAGGAAATCAATCCTTCTTCAATTTTAAGAGTTACTATTAATCAATCCTTCAATAGGAAATGGGACTCTTCCTATTTTTCTTTAGCCTCCTTGGAATGCGAGATTGAATTATTTGAAGGCTGAGTCTTTGAACTCCACTAGCAGAATATAAGATAAACTTGATAAACTACCAGGGTTGACAATGATTAAATCAAACTGATTGAATCATGTGATTAAATCACTTGATTTTTTATTAAAAATCATGATTTTTTTTGTTTTTTCAATTTTTATATTTTTTCATATTTTTTATTTTTAGCACATTTTCTCATTTATGGAAAAAATGCACTATTGTTTTATATGTTTTAATATGTTGAGTGGCAGTCTTCAATTTATTTCGAGGTATTGTTATTCACGGTTTAGTGTGAAAAAAAACTACGTTTTGCTGCAGAGAACTTGGCGAAGCGAAACGTCAGGACTCTGCACGGGCTGCAGAGCTTGCTGAGCAGACTCTGAGTGCAGAAGTAGGCGCTAAGCAGCAGCTGCAGGAAGCTCTGCTGCAGCAGCAACGTCTTGCCAGCAAGGAGAAGCAATCGCTGCTCCTGCAGATCGAGGAGCTGCAGGATGAGAAGGAACGCATCCAGCAGACTGCAGACCGGTGAGAGATCCTTAGAGTCCTTAGGACTCTAGGGAAGAAGGAGGACTCATTAGAAGGAGTCCTTAGGAGTACTTAGAAGGAGTCCTTAGAAAGGCTCCTTAGAAGGAGTCCTTAGAAGGACTCTTTAGAAGGACTCCTTAGAAGGAATCCTTAGAAGGAGCCCTTAGGAGTCCTTAGAAGGACTCTAAGGAGATTTTTTGAGTCCTCAGGAGTCCATAAAAGCACTCCTGACGAGTGCAGGCGTCCTAAGAGTCTGCGTTGTCTGCATAGCTGTACTCCTGTCAACTCGAATGATCATTCGTCTGTATCTGATGTGTCATTTTTGGGAATAAATTTAAGCAGTGGACATTTCTGAAAATTGTGTTTAAATTTTCAGCGTATTTCAGTGGCAAAGCTCTCGAATTTTAATTGAATGCTCAGAATTTCTCAAAATCATGATAGAATTATTGTCTCTGTTTTCATTTACTAACACATTTTTTGCAATGACTGAACCACATTGAGATTTTTCCCAAAATTGTTCGTAATCTTATTTCCTGGCCGATACTAGCGTATTCTTACTCGTCAGTAGTGCAACAAACTCTTTATATTTATTTCTGATTTATTTAAAATTCTTTTCACTTAACTGTAAATTATTAGGAATATATTTCTAATCTCTCATGGGAATACATTGTCATTATTTAATATTTTTAAGCTTATTTTGAATAAAGTTTGATGTGAGAATTCATTCTCATTGTTATTTCCAAGCTCATTTTAAATGCGACTAATTTTTTGCATTTGAAAGCTTTTGTTACGGAACAAACTGGAAATTTTTTCTCGATTCCTGAAACTCCACAAATTTATATATTGTTTTCATTTAGGATTCATCTAACTTTTCTTTTTATTTCTACAAATTTATTCTTAATGTCACATGGCCATCCTTTTTAACAACTTGTTTTACATATCCACTGAATTTGAGCAGAAAATGTATAGTTTTATTTATTTATGATTTGTCTCACTTTTCTGTAAATATCTACAAATAAATTGATAATCTCGTATGGCAACTATTCTGATTAACTTATTTTTACCTATCCACTGAATTTTTTAGCTGGCAGATGTGAGCGGATGCTGCGGCTCGAACTGAAAATTTTTCACGAGGCTTCAAACGCAACATATTTAAAGTTTTTTATTTAGGCTTCTGCTCATGTTTCTGTAAATTTTCACGAACTCAAAATTTTTTCACGATGCCTCAAACTCAACAAATTTATTGTTCTTTTTTTATTAATTATGATTCGTCTCACTTTTCTGTAAATATCTACGAGTATATTCATAATCTTGTATAGTAATCATTCTGATTAACTTATTTTACTTATCCACTAAATATCATTTGGCTGGCAGATGTGAGCGCATGTTGCGGAACAAACTCAAAATTTTTTCACGATGCCTCAAACTCAACAAATTTATATATATTTTTAGGATTCTTCTCGCTTTTCTGTGAATTCCTACAAATATATTCATAATCTCACATGGCAATTCTTCTGATTAACTTATTTTACATATCCACTGAATTTGAGCAGAAAATTAATAGTTTTTTTTTATTTATGATTCGTCTCACTTCTCTGAAAATATCTAAATATCTACAAATATATTCATAATCTCGTATGGCAATTATTTTTATTAACTTATTTTTACTATCCACTAAATATTATTCGTATGTCAGATGTGAGCGTGCGTGAGTCCCATTCGTGATGAATTTTTGAGTGCGTGAGTCTCATTCGTGATGAATTTTTGAGAGTGAGTGCGTGAGTAACATTCAGTAATGAATTTTTGAGTGCGTGAGTCCCGTTCAGAGATTAATTTTTGAGTGCGTGAGTCCCATTCACGGATGAACTTTGGTGTTAGCTAGAATTTAGACTGAAAATTGAGTTGTGGAAATACTTTTGTATAGTTATTCGTCTGCGGCGTGTTTTTGGTTATGTTTTATAGGGTAAACCTTGAGTGTGATTGAGACGGATTAGACAAAAGCGAGTTTTTAGCGCATTTTATCATTCATGGAAAAAATGCCCTATTGTGCTCGCCATGTCCGTCCGTCCGTCCGTCTGGCCGTGACTTCACGTTTTCGTCGATTCTGAGAAAACGCGCTCTCTGTCACTCACTGCAGTGAGTACTGAGTTATATTTTTATTTATTTCTACCGTTTAAGTGTTCTCCACGCTACTGCGAGGCATACTATTGCATTTTTCGTAAGGCTTAGCCAGTCAATTTAGGGCACTTCGTCTCGTGTGTTTGAATGGACTATTATGTCATGTAATTAGCGTTTGAATTGATTACGGTATTGTAGTGACATTGAGGTTATATTCATTTCGTTGTTTATAAATTCATGATATTTGTTTATCTTTTAGACTTTAGAGCGAAGGGGTATTTCTGAGCAAAACTAAATAAAAACGTATTTGAATGAACCTATGGTTATATATTATACTCAATATTGTGCTCACATAGTTAATGTGGTGCTCACATACTCAATCTTGTGCTCACATACTTAATGTTGTGCTCACATACTCAATGTTGTGCTCACATGCTCAATGTTGTGCTCACATACTCAATGTTGTGCTCACATGCTCTTTACGCTCACATACTCAATGTTGTGCTCACATGCTCTTTACGCTCACTTACTCAATGTTGTGCTCACATGCTCTTTACGCTCACATACTCAATGTTGTGCTCACATGCTCTTTACGCTCACATACTCAATGTTGTGCTCACATGCTCTTTACGCTCATCAGTTGAGGCGGAAAAGAGCGCCGCCGCCATGGCTGAGCGCCACAGGAGCACCAGCGAGCAGAGCGCTCAGGCGCTCGTGCAACAAGCAGCCATGCAGACCCAGGTACACAGCATATGTTTGTAGTGATTCAAGTATCATCCGTGGATGATAAGTGCATCATACATGGTGGATGATAAGTGCATCATACATGGTGGATGATAAGTACATCATCCATGTTGGATGATAAGTACATCATCCATGGTGGATGATAAGTACATCATCCATGGTGGATGATAAGTACATCATACATGGTGGATGATAAGTACATCATACATGTTGGATGATAAGTACATCATACATGTTGGATGATATGTACATCATACATGGTGGACAATAAGTACATCATCCATGTTGGATGATAAGTACATCATCCATGTTAGATGATAAGTACATCATCCATGGTGGATGATAAGTACATCATCCATGGTGGATGATAAGTTCATCATCCATGTTGGATGATAAGTACATCATCCATGGTGGATGATAAGTTCATCATCCATGGTGGATGATAAGTACATCATCCATGGTGGATGATTTATGAATTGTCTGTCTGAAGCGCTTCATGTATCATCGACATGTATCATCATTTCTTCATGTATCATCTGTTTAATGCGCATGAAATGATGTAAATGATACGTCACTAACAAAATTTTCGTACAAACATAATTGTAAAGTAACAGTGCTTTGTCTGACGTGATCAATTTTAAAATTAAGAATTGAAAGGAGTTTTCATAGCGTTAATTTATTCATGTTTGAATGAGGTTTATAAATTATAGGTACATGTTTTAAAGACTTTTATTTCTACATGTTTTAAAGACTTTTATTTCTACATGTTTTAATAACGATTATTTCTACATGTTTTAATAACGTATATTTCTACATGTTTTAATAACGTTTATTTCTATATCTTTTAATAACGTTTATTTCTACATGTTTTAATAATGTTTATTTCTATATCTTTTAAAGACGTTTATTTCTACATGTTTTAATAACGTTTATTTCTATATCTTTTAATAACGTTTATTTCTACATGTTTTAATAACGTTTATTTCTACATGTTTTAATAACGTTTATTTCTACATGTTTTAATAACGTTTATTTCTACATGTTTTAATAACGTTAATTTATACATGTTTTAATAACGTTTACTTCTACATGTTTTAATAACGTTAATTTATACATGTTTTAATTGCATTAATTTCTACATGTTTTAATAACGATTATTTTGGCAGGTGGAAGGCCTGAAGGCTGAGAACGCCTCCCTGGCTGCCAGAGTGCAGAGTCTGGCGTCGGCCGTGTCGAGACTTGAGGAAGAGAAAGCGAGGTTACTTATTTATTTATTGATTAAATTGTCATTGTTCTTCATCCAGAATTTAAATTTTTTTCAAAAGGATGTCATCTTTATTTGTTCTTTTTTTAAAATTCCGTGACGAGGAAGAGAAAGCGAGGTTACTTATTCATTTATTGATTAAATTGTTATTTTTCTTCATCCAGGATTTAAATATTCTCTATAGGAAGTCATCTCTATTTGTTATTTTCTTAATTTTCCGTGACTAGGAAGAGAAAGCAAGGTTACTGAACACGTTATTCATTTACTTAATAAATTGTCATTGTTCTTCATCCAGGATTTAAATATTCTCAAAAGTAAATCATCTTTATTTGTTATTTTTTAATATTCCGTGACGAGGAAGAGAAAGCAAGGTTACTGAACACGTTATTCATTTTCTAACTAAATTGTCATTGTTCTTCATCCAGGATTTAAATATACTCTATAGGAAGTCATCTTTATTTCTTCTTTTTAGCGCATTTTCTCATTTATGGAAAAAAGGCGCTATTGTGCTCGCCATGTCCGTCCGTCCGTCTGTCTGTCCGTGACTTCACGTTTTCGTCTACGAGAAAATGCGCTCTCTGTCACTCACTGCAGTGAGTACTGAGTTATATTTTTTTAATATTCCGTGACGAAGAAGAGAAGGCGAGGTTACTTATTCGTTTATTGATTAAATTGTCATTGTTCTTCATCCAGGATTTAAATATTCTCTATAGGAAGTCATCTCTATTTGTTATTTTCTTAATTTTCCGTGACTAGGAAGAGAAAGCGAGGTTACTGAACACGTTATTTATTTATAGATTAAATTGTAACTTTTCTTCATTCAGGATTTAAATATTCTCAATTTGCGGTCCTCTCTATTTGTTTTTTTGATACTCCGTGAATCAGATGTTCGTTTGGCTACAATTTCATTTACAAATTTTACATTTTTCTGATGTAGCGAAAATTTTTTATGTAACCATGAGAGTGGAAATTTATTTCTTCGTAACCTGATTCAGGAAATTCTGTATTAAATTTTTGTTTATTGGTAAATTTTAACTGTTTTGACTTGAACGGTTGGGATTTTAATGGAGAATTTATTTTTTTTTCTTTCTCTCTCTGATAATGTTGTCATTTTTCTCTTCTAATTGAAGTGGTTCGGAAAGTTAAGAAAATGTTATAGAAAATTTTTATATTTTTCTATGCTATTTGAAATTTTTCCAAAATTTATTTTCTGATTACAATCATAGGAAACGCTATTTAACATTTGTTTGTGAATCAGGATTTCGGATTAGGGATTTTTCTATGCTCATTTTTAGCGCATTTTCTCATTTATGGAAAAAATGCCTCATTGTGCACGTCATGTCCGTCCGTCCTTCCGTCTGTCCGTGACTTCACATTTTAATTGATTTTAAGAAAATACGCTCTCTGTCACTCACTTCAGTGAGTACTGAGTCATATTTTAAAATTTTTTATCATATTCATAGCTGCCGAGATAAATATAAATATTGAAAAATATATTTTAAAATTTCTTATCATATTCAATTGCGTATCATATTCAATTTCTTATCATATTATCATCATATCATGTCATATCTGATCATATTTCTTAAAAATATATTTTTAAATTTCTTATCATATTCAATTTCTTATCATATTATCATCATATCATATCATATCTTATCATATTTCTTAAAAATATATTTTAAAATTTCTTATCATACCATCATCATATCATATCATATCATATCATATTTCTTAAAAATATATTTTTAAATTTCTTATCATATTATCATATCATATCATATCTTATCATATCATATATCTTTAAAAATATATTTTAAAAATTGTTATCATATTCACAGCTGCCGAGATGAAGCCAGCTCAACGCGCGCCAGCTTATCTCAGGAGCTGAGCGCTGCAAAAGCTGAGTGTGAGAAGCTCAAGTCTCAGCTTCAGCTCGAGCTGACCGCGCTTGAAGCTGAGAAGAAGCGCAATGAGTCGCTTCAGCAGCACATCGCTGACCTGGACAAGAAGGTTCGTCTCGTCATCATTATATTTTGTTTATTTTATGTTTATATTAATAATGAATTTTAATGCAATAATAAAGCGGAGAAAAAGCGCAACGAGTCGCTTCAGCAGCACCTCGCTGACCTGGACAACAAGAAGGTTCGTCATGTCATCTTTAGATTTTTGTTTATACCTATGCTTATATTAACAATGAGTTTTAATTTCAAATTTTTAATGCAATAATGAAGCTAAAAAGAAGCGCAATGACTCGCTTCAGCAGCACCTCGCTGACCTGGACAACAAAAAGGTTTGTCATGTCATCTTTAGATTTTGTTTATACCTATGCTTATATTAATAATGAATTTAATTTTAATGCAATAATAATAACTTCAACGTGTTTAGAAAACTTTGACTTTTACCTATTTCGTGACCTGACAACTAGAAAGTTCGTCGCGTCACCTTTTTATGTTTTTTATATTGATTCCTTTTATTAATGAGTTTTAATTTTGATTCGATAATAATAACATTAACCTGTTTATAAAACGGTAATTTTTATCTATACGTGAGACTAACTTTTAGTGGAGAACTGTGCACTAACTATAGGCAAGGTTAGCACATTGTTATAAATATAACTTGAAATTTAAATTTATTTTATTTATTATATTTATTTATTTAAATTTATTTTATTTATTTATTTTATTATATTTATTTAGATTCTCTGATTTCTCAGGGCAATTTTTAAAGTTCACTTTCCATTTTTTTCGCTTCTCATTCAAAGAAAGTTGTGATTATTAGATACAGAATAGACCTCAGGTGAACAGTTGGTTTGCATTAGATATTTGTCTGCAACTTATATTAGGCATTATAGGGATTTTATTCAAAATATTCAATATTAAAATTACTTTATTTTATTTGATACTATTATTGACGGTCTCAAATTTGTACAGACTTGCGTTCATGATGATCCGAGAAAATATTTATTCAACGTTGTAGGGAGTTGTTTCGTATTTTAGTTTCTTGTTTTCATATTATCTTGTAAAGTTATTTTTTCACGTTTTTGTTTGCTACCTACAAAATATTTTACGGAAGGGGTTTCGTTTTTAGCGCATTTTCTCATTTATGGAAAAAATGCACTATTGTGCTCGCCATGTCTGTCCGTTCGTCTGTCTGTCCGTCTGTCCGTCCGTCTGTCCGTGACCTCAAGTTTTCGTCGACGAGAAAATGCGCTCTCTGTCACTCACTGCAGTGAGTACTGAGTTATATTTTTTCAAATTTTTGTTTCTATATTCAATTTCTTATCAAAAACTATAAAAAATGAAAATAAAATACACAAAGTATTTTATGAAATGTGTTTTATTTTTTCTTATTTTTATCTTCTCACTTACAAAGTTTGGTTTTGTTTGGCCAGGGCGGTGGTGGCGGCAGCGGTGGCGGGGGCTGCAGCAGACAGTCGTCCCCGACGCCTTCTCTGTCCCGCCTCTCCATCTCTGGCTCCATTAACTCCTTCATGGCCGGCAATTATGCGGTATAATCTTATATTATATTTATTATTTTATATTATACGTCGTCATTAATAACTCATACTTTATATTATACGTCGTTATTAATAACTTTCAGCTATTTCATCATCATAACTATAATCATAATTCCGTAGCATAACTATATGAAATTATATCTAATGGCGGACCCTAACAACATCAACTCCTTCATGGCGGGCAATTACGCGGTATAGTCTTATGTCATATTTATTATTTCATATTTTACGTACGTCAATAAAAACTTTCAGCTATTCCGAGCATTAGAAAACTATAATAAACTTTCAGCTGTTTCATCATCACAACTATAATCATAATTACATAAACTCCTTTATGGCCGGCAATTGCGTGGTATAATCTTATAATAATATTTATTATTATATATTTTACGTCGTCAATAATAACTTTCAGCCTTTCCGAGCATTAAAAAACTATAATCATCACTTTCAGCTATTTCATCAGCATAATTATTGTTGTTCTCAGTTTTGGTTATCAAGTTAAGGTTGTAGAAAGGAAATAAATACTTATCAGTTAAGTATTGTAATTAGGACAATTGTCTTATGACTAATCGTAGATTTCTTTCCTGTTACTTACTTTCATTTAATTTAATTCTTTTAATCAAAGGTCCCTTAAGTTAAGAGAGAGCATGGGTTAATACTTCTTTCTGTTGACCCACACCTACTGGCAATGTTCTCATGAATTTTGTTTTAGTATCGTTATTTATTTCGTTTAACTCGTGCTGTACTAAACTTCTTATCTATGTCATCTAAATGCACATTATGAAGGTGGGCATGTGAAGGTGGACATCATGTTCCTTATTATTATTATTATAATATAAGCGGACTGGACTGTGAAGGTGCGCATCATGTTCCTAATTATTATTATAATATAAGCGGACTGGACTGTGAAGGTGCGCATCATGTTCCTAATTATCATTATAATATAAGCGGACTGGACTGTGAAGGTGCGCATCATGTTCCTAATTATCATTATAATGTAAGCGGACTGGACTTTGAAGGTGGACATCATGTTCCTTATAAGCGGACTGGACTGTGAAAGTGGACATCATGTTCCTTATAAGCGGACTGGACTTATAAGCGGACTGGAATTTGAAGGTGGACATCATGTTCCTTATAAGCGGACTGGACTGTGAAGGTATACATCATGTTCCTTATAAGCGGACTGGACTTATAAGCGGACTGGACTGTGAAGGTATACATCATGTTCCTTATAAGCGGACTGGACTGTGAAGGTGCACATCATGTTCCTTATAAGCGGACTGGACTTATAAGCGGACTGGACTTATAAGCGGACTGGACTTATAAGCGGACTTATAAGGTATACATCATGTTCCTAATAAGTGGACTTGTACCACTGCAGGACGACGTGTTCGAGGGCGTGGGTTGGGGCGGGACTCTACGGCAGCAGTCCTCCCTGTACGAGGCTCTCAGGGGCGGCGCCGCGACCACCGTCGAGGCGCTCACGTCTTCTCTCTCCCAGCGCGAGGGTGCCTTACATATATGAAATAAAATTATTATTAATCAAATTAATTGAGATTATGAAACAATTTCAATAGGTGGCTTAGAAATAAATTTATTAAGATTATAAAATAATTTTAAATTTTTAATAGTTCTCTTGGTGGCTTACATATATGAAATAAATTTATTATTAAACAAATTAATTTAGATTTTAAAATAATCTTAATAGTTCTCTTGATGGCTTCCACATTAGAAATGATTTAATTATTAAACAAATTAATTAAGATTATAAAATTATTTTAAATTTTAAATACCGGCAGTTCTCTTGGTGGATTCCATGTTAGAAATAAATTAATTATTTAACAAATTGATTGAGATTATGAAACAATTTGAATAGTTCTCATAATGGATTTCACATTGAAAATGATTTAATTGAGATTGTGAATTAATTTGAATATTTCTCTTACTGGCTTCCACTTTAGAAATGAATTAATTGAGATTATAAAATAATTTGAATATTTCACCTAATGGCTTTCACATTAAAAATGAATTTATTGAGATTATAAAATAAATAAATAATTAATTAAAAATTACTTCGAATAAATAATTCGAATACCGGTAAGACTCTTGGTGGCTTTCACTTTAGAAATAATTTATTGACATTTTAAATGTATTTGAATAGTTCTCCTAAATTATCTCATAAAAATTCATTTGAAATTCAACTTTAACTCAAGCATCTGTATTTCAGGTGAAGTGCACTTGTTGCAAAGTGAGATGGCGCGACACGAAGCGCAGCGAGAGAGTCTAGCAGCTGAACTGCTGCAGCTGACCGAGCAAGTGCATCAGCTGCAGCAGCAGCTCAGTGATCACAAGCATCTGAAGCAGCAACTACAAGATGTTTCTCAGAAATATAATGCATTACTTCAAGTGAGAACAAACTCTGATTTAATATTTTTTATTTAATTAAAGTATTAAACTCGGTCAAATGAGACCGAACTCTGATTTAATCATTTTTTATTTAATTAATGTAATAAACTCAGTCAAGTGAGACCGAACTCTGATTTAATCTTTTTTATTTAATTAAACTCGGTATTTATTGGGTATTGGGTATGATTGAGTTTTTTCCAAATGATCCACTAGTTACAGAAGCTGGTCCTTCAAAAATATAACTCAGTACTCACTGCAGTGAGTGACAGAGAGCTCATTTTCTCGTCGACGAAAACGTGAAGTCACGGACAGACAGACAGACAGACGGACGGACGGACATGACAAGCAAAATATGGCATTTTTCCATAAAGGAGAAAATGCGCTAAATATAGAAAATGTTTATTTTAATTCGATAACATAAATAATGTGTTTGATATTACTGCCGATAGTTACAAATCTTTGAATTCAATCGTTTATCTGCATTATGTAAATATTGTGATTGATGTTTTTGCAGATGTATGGTGAAAAGGTGGAAGAAGTCGATGAACTGAGGTTGGACTTGGCGGATGTCAAAGAAATGTACAAGGCTCAGGTAACTGTGACTCTTGAATCTCCAAATTAATGGCGTCTTACGACCTATTTTTAAGAAATAGTTTGTTCTCTTCTTCAATAGTTTTTCGCCCCACCTATTTCCGATTGCAATCACAGGAATCGTTATTTAACATTTGTTTGTGAATCAGGATTTTGGTGTTACGAAATATTTTCAATAATTAATTTGTTCTATTCTCCAATAGTTGGTTTTTTGCCGCACCTATTTTCCGATTACAATCATAGGAAACGTTATTTAACATTTGTTTGTGAATCAGGATTAGGGATTAGTACTTTTTTAGATTTTTAGGAATTCGTCATGTAGAATTTTTTTCTCCGGTTTTCGTGTTCTGTGTCTCTTATTAATAGAAGCTCTCATTAAGGAACACATAAATTTCTTCTAAGTATTTCTCCATCTCTATACTTTTGTCTGAAAAATATCTGAAGAATATAAAAGAATTCCTCCTTGAAAGAAATTTTAGCACGTGGTTAGCCGGTCCAAATAGCCACCATTGATTTTATAAACAATTACAATATCCTCTGTTATAAGAGTGTTTTTTTTTCTTTTTAAAATCCTTTGCATTCTTTACAATGATTATCGTATGAATATAAGAACATGAATAAAATAATTTTTAATAATAAAATAATAATAATTATTTATACAAATAATAAAAATTATTTGTGCAGATTAACCAGCTGATGAAGCAGTGAGGGCCTCTCGTCCTTAGCTTGTGAATGCCTAGCTTCCATATAATAAAAGGATATTATTACTATATTTATTGAACACTACGGCCATGCTGCGATCATAAATTAGTGACAGCTATGACTTCTTCAAATGCTTCTTTAATCTTCTTTATAATCTACTGACAAATTTATTTATATATATTTGTATAACTTTTTCCGCTGGCAACAACTGGGATATTTTCAGTTGTTGGATCCCGCTTAAGAACCGAAATAATAAACACGTAGTAGAGAACCGATTGAGAACCAAAATGATAAACACGTAGTAGAGAACCGCTTAAGAACCAAAATAATAAACACGTAGTAGAGAACCGCTTAAGAACCAAAATAATGTGTACGTATACACATGGTAGATAAGGGTGAAAATATTGCAGTTTGTTTTGTGTTTATAAGGTTTATGTTTTTCATAATTTGTATTGTTAATATGGCGATGTTAATTATCTACATTGTTTGGCAATGTTGAGTGATAGTTTGTAGTAACTTGTGTCGTTTGTAATATCATATTTTGTTATTATTTTTACTTGGCGAGACGAATCAAAAGATTATCTGTATCAACTTGCGAAAGTCTTACCTAGAAAACTTATTCAATTTGTGCATAAAAAATGAAATTTATTCTTTAAAATCCATCCACCAGGTGGAAAAAATGGGATAAAAGTTCATCCGCTAGATGAATTCTTCAGTTCACTAGATGATTCGTTGCATTGTTCTTATCTTATTTCTTCATATCCTCTAATCTAATCTAGTAAATAATCTAGCAAAGAAATAATAAAGAAAGAATAAAATGATCGTCAGGAATCCCTACGCTCCCCGCAAATTTCGTTGAAAAACATTAATTGCGATTTGATTCATTTGAAACAATCTTGATTACTAGTTGATTTCTCTAAAACCACGTTAATTGCCAGTGGATTCCGTTGAAACAAGATTTATTAAGAGCTGATTTCGTTGAATGTCTGATGATAATAATATTGTATCCATGATACTTGCGTCGCAGCAGTCCTAGGGATCATGGAACTAAAGACTGAGTGGCCAAGCACTCAGAGGAATTATCGAAACTTTGTTCAAATTGCGATGAAATTTATGTCTTTCCGCTCACGGTAGGTGTGATGGGTAAAAAAGTGTTTTAATTTTTGGACACCAGCAAGGGCCATACTTTAAAAACTCGCTAAGTGAACGTAAGTACTTACGCTCTATTTTCTTGTCTATGATTGGCGGATTTTGCTTGAAAGGCCGTCAATGATTGGCTGATGAAGTTACGATCTCTTAACTTTTTTGAAAGTATAGGCCCTGTGACCCATACATTGATTGCAGCTGTTTGTAAAAATATGTCACGCGGTGCTTGTGTTGCAGTATTGATAGACTTTTTAAATTAAAAGCTTTGTATGTCGGTCAATTTACACCTTGGTAAGAAATGAACTGTAAAAAATCAGCCTGTACTAGATTATTTTTTGAAACTTGATTCGCATATTTTAATGTTTTGTTATATTTCCAGAGATTACTGAAAGTTTTCATATTAGAAATGCAATTATTCTACCATGAGCCTTCACAATGCATATATATTTATTTCTATATTTATATAAACGAAATAACCGTTGCCGCAATGTATTAATTTGCAGTATATTCGCCAAGTTTATTCGCTTAGACTCATTGGTTGGAGCAAAATGTATTTTTTATTATTTTGTGTGTATATTCTTCATTAATGCAACTTTGGTTCACGTTTTTTTTTAAACTTCAATATTCTAAAGTATTTGACTTTTTCTGATGATATCAGTTGGGCATTGTTTTTTAATACGTTTATATATTTTTATTTATTTCTGTATAATGAAAGCATCGCTTAACCCGTCCGTGTAGATCCGCTTATTATTCGTAGAATATCGTGTACAATTCTTGCGTAGAGTTCGTGTATAGGCGACAAGAGACGTTTAAATGTCGATATCTGGCGCAAAAAAGTTTAAAACAATTATTTTATATTTACAAAGTAATCTGTACATTTTTTTTTTGTTTCTCTCTGCGCAGCTTATAACATAACAAATTATTCTATGCACATGTTACAGGCTCTGAAGTGTTTTTGTTGTGTTATTTCTCAAAGTCTATCATTCAATGCTATAATTGTTCTCTAACTTACTGTGCAATATCTCTAGCTTCTTACTTGATTCTAAGTGAAGTTTTGCAGATCGTAAAAGAATATATTATTAGATCAACTTCACTGTGTAAATCTTCAATCACATACAATCGTGACACACACTCGTGAAAAACACTAGCAACTACACGTAGCACAGATAGGTCTTTTTGCCTGTGCAAACTGGGTTAGGATGACCCACAATAGGGAAAAAAATATAACTCAGTACTCACTGCAGTGAGTGACAGAGAGCGCATTTTCTCGTCGACGAAAACTTGAGGTCACTGACAGACGGACGGACAGACAGACGGACATGGCGAGCACAATAGTGCATTTTTTTGCGCTTAAAAAAAGTGCATCGCCATTTATATAAGCCACTCATTTCTATGAGTGTTTACTAGCTCTCTTCCCCCTTGCCACCCGAGGCACTCCACAAGCTTGTCACTAGATGCTCAAACGATTCAACACTTCATCGGAAACAAATCCATGTGTGCGATGATGAAAATTGTTATCCATAAGCAACATTTTATTAAATTCATCGTCTGCGAAGCCGAAAAATTTTCTGCTTGTCCGAAAATGCCATTTTCCAATTTTTTTGTATACATCTTTGATGTATTCGAAATATATATGTATATTTCGCCTGCATAAGTGAATCAAAGATGCAGTTTTTGCCTGCCGTACTTTAGGAATGCTAGCTAGAAATTTATAAGCTATGGCTTGTGTCGCGAAGTCGCTGTAAATTCTATTGTTTTTGTACGGATATAAATTATATACTACAATGGGACGTGTTGACTTTACCCTAAAATTTTCCGTAAATCTAAACGCCATGCAAATCTAAACGTGCAAAATCTAAACGCTATGTCAGAAGTTTCTTGTATATGCTCCTGAAATCTTCGGTCAGGCAAGATGAATCGCTTCAATACGTGCACTAGCAGGATAACTCGGTATTACCAAGAATTAATAATCCTTCTTACTTGAAAATCCCGTTATTCCTAATCCTGCTGTCCTTAATCCAGGTTTAAATTTCTTTAGCGTAAACTACAGTAATTGAAAGTATACTCATAGTCATTCAAACACTCTAGCAGCGCAGAGTACTCTTTCAAGTTCTGTTTTGAGATTGAAATGAAACCTTAGGGCTGTATTTTAATAGATACCTTGAAGTACGTAACTCCGGCACCTAATCACTGACGGCATCTCAAGCCGCTACGTGCACTTCGGCGAGTTTCGGCCCTTTAACTTTGTATCTTTTAATAAATGTACAATTTCAAAGTAAAAATTACATTTTATTTATAAATCTTGCTCTCCCTTGAAGATAAATTTGCAGGTATTATCCCGACATGTATCGCGTTCTCGATTAGCTCCTACATGTTTTTCAGCTTCAAAACGCACACAAACTTTCACAAATATCTTTGAGATTCTACACAATTGTTCCATTGTGTTTAGGTTTTAACTATTTATCTAGAAATTCAAGCAAATGTCTAGATAAATTCGGGGACGGTCTTTGGGAAATTGTCTTCTTATAAAGGTTAGACCTCAGCAGAATCCGAAAATGCCAAGTTTTTTCTCTAATTTTTAGAGTAACGATTGCATTGTCATGCGTAAATAAAAGTACAAGAGACATTCTTTTTTGAGGGATTTTATGAAACAGGTTTGAATTTTGACGAAAGGTTCTTCATTAATTAACAAATATCGCAAACTCACGACCCACGCCAGACGGTTGTTTGGAACTCTTTGGGGTTCTAAACAAAATAAATTTCCTTTCCAAAATAAATTTTACTAGCTGCAGCAGTAAAATTTTAATGAAAATTTATTCATTCCGAAAACAATTTTCTCAAGTTCATTGGTATAATTCTATGAAGAAATATTTATGGCATTCCTAAAATATAAATTTTACATTTTTGTTGAATAGACAAGCGTGTGGGAAAATCATTTATTGAAATAAATGCAACTTCACTCAATATGTTAAGTGAAAAGAAACTATTAATTAATCGAAAATCGGCCTCGTATTTCTATGCGGAAGTTATGAAGATGGGACACACATTTTAATTAAAAATGTGAAAACAACTAACGGTGCAGCGAATAAGAAAATTATTTCAATAAAATTATTTAAAAGAATTTGTCTTACCGGCTGGCAATAAAAATTTACGAGACATTCCGGCTATTCAATGTCATTATTATTAAAATTACTCTGTCAGTAGTCTGTAAAGCAGCAGTTTTCACTTCTATTCATATCATTTTTATTCGCGTTGATTTTTCTCGGCAGCCATGCACCACAGTTGAATGGAACGTCCGATGCAGTTGGAATAAATAGAAGTGTCGGCGTTGAAGAAATAGGCCCATGGCCTGTTGCCGATTCTTGAACTTTTCGTGACTTGATTCACAAGGGATCCGGCCTTTGGAATCCGATCTTTCCATAACTGACGATTGATTGAGATAGATGCTGGACTTATTGCCTGGTCCGTCGCCACCTCAGTTCTTCGTCGCCACCCCAGCCACAATCCAGCAGCAACACATGACGGTTGAAATACTATGTGGCTACAGTGGCAGGTTCAATGGTCAAGGAAAATCACGGTTACATTGAAATTACTTTATTGCACGAACAATCATATAAAACTGTTTTTCATCCAAAGGGACTTGAAACAGACTCAATTTATGGAACTTGATAAGCAGGCAACGTCAAGCTAATGTTTTGCAGGAATAAGTTAACGAACACGTGACGCTATATAACCTGCCGTCCACTCTCATACTGCTACTTCTTTCCTTTATTCACGCTCTGGCATCGGTTCCTACACTCTCTACAACATTCTTGCAATTCTAAACCTCATCAATGATAAACTTACAACACATATATTGGTAAAAGCCTAACATTCGAACAATCAATTATTATGTAAACCAAGACCTATGCAGTGCGTTGGACTGCTTCAAAAAGCGTGTCCAATGATAACAGCACAAGAACTATGCGGATTTGCCGCATTGTGTCCTATCAGTCTTAAAATTGTATTGCATTGTATTTAATTAAAACAACGTATTTATATTAAAATTGTATTGCATTGTATCCTATCAGTCTTAAAATGCCTGGCAAATTACGGAGCAGGCAATAAGTCCAGCAGCTATCTCAATCAATCGTCAGCTATGGAAAGATCGGGTTCCAAAGGCCGGATCCCTTGTGAATCAAGTCACGAAAAGTTCAAGAATCGGCAACAGGCCATGGGCCTATTTCTTCAACGCCGACGCTTCTATTCTATTCTAATATTTTTGGATATTTCTCTGTCAAATTTTCATATCTCCACTTTTCGGGTGAAAAATCATCATAACTAGAAATCATGATTTGG